TCCCACAGGGACGCGTGCCTTCTGAGGAAGTCCACATCATTTTATGCGCTAGTTCCTGTAACTATTGAAAGTTATTCTAATTATTCTCCAAGGGAGGGATGCGCTTTGGAGAATTCCAGATTCATCTTTCAAATTATTCTAATCACGTATTCCCAAAGGGAGAGGTACCTTGCGGTACTTCCCGATTCATTGATTCCTTTTACTACTTGTCCCAAGTGATTCGAATAACTATAATCATTAGAGAACACACAGGGCTATGGTTTGCTGTTTGTTCTAAATGTTATATTTGTTCATTACCAAGTTCCTTTTTTGGAACTCCAGATTAATGTTTGCTCCAATTATCTTGAATAGCTTCATATTATTCCAACTATTCCCAAAGGGACGGGTGCCTTTTGGGGAACTCCAGATTCATGTTTGTGCAAGCTCTCTAATTATTCTGAATATTCAAAGAGGCGGGTTCCTTTTGAGGAATTCAAGATTCATCTTGCGAACTATCCTACTTATCATAGTTCTTCTAATTCTTTTAATTGTAGTGGTTCTCGGGTGCCTTTTGGAGAATTCCAGATGCATCTTTGTCCTATTTGTTTTACTGCTTGCAATTGTTAATTCTGCTAAGTACTCCCGCGTTTTGGTTCATTCAGCATTTTTTGCCAATTGTTCTACTTATCAAAACTATTCTCGGTATTCGAATTGTATAACCCCTGAGGGGTTGGGGTGCCTTTTTGAGAATTCCAGACTCGTGTTTGCTCTAGGTATGAGACTTTTATCAAAAGGGATGGGGCATTTTGTGAATTCCATATTTGACCCGCACTGTTCCAATCAATTGAATAATTTCCAGATGGACAGCTTCTTTTTGGTGAGTTCCAGGTTATGTGCCTAATTGTTTTAATTGTTCCCAAACGGGCGTTTTTAGCTTTACGTTTGCTGGTTACTTTACTCACCATCAATCTTCTAATCATTCGTCGTACTCCTAAACAGAGGGGCCTCTCTGGCATTGTACATCGTGTTTGCAAATTATTACACTTATCATAACTGTTCAAATGACTTTACTCGTGCCGCTGCGGACAGATGCCTAAGCCCGGTAAAAAGTGCATCTTCTCCATGAAGCCTGGTGAAAGTGCATCTTGCCATGGTGTAAGTGCTTCTTGTCAACTAAGCCTGGTGAAGGTGCATCTTGCCAACTAAGCCTGGTGAAGGTGCGTCCTGCCAAATAAGCCTGGTGAAAGTGCATCTTGACAACTAAGCCTGGTAAAAGCGCATTTTGTCAATTAAGCCTGGTGAAAATGTGTCTTGTCAACTAAGCCTGGTGAAGGTGCGTCTTGTCAACTAAGCCTGGTGAAAGTGCATCTTGCCAACCAAGCCTGGTTAAATTGTCTTAAATATTTTAAATCGGGGCCCGGGGATTTGAAATGTTTGAAATGTTTAGGCCTCAAAGCATATTTCTTACTGCAAATATTTTTTAAGATATCCGATGTTTATTTTCAAATGATTGAAACAATATTTTGCATAATTGAACAATTTTTAATCGGGACCCGGGGAAATAACATATTTAAAATATTGAAAGTTTTAAATCGGCCCCAGCTCCACAAATCCGGGCGCGGGAATTTAAAATATTTAAATATTTTAAAATATGTAGGGCCCAAACCAACCTCACTGCTGTAATCAGTCTAAAGCCCGGAAACCCAGGATCTGAGCCGGATTTCTAGATATTTCAACTATTTTAAATCGGGGCCCGGGGATTTAAAATATATATTTAAAATAATTAGGGCCCAAATCAGCTTAAATATTTTAATAGTTTAAATCGGGGCCCGGGGATTTAACATATTTATAATAATTAGGCCCCAAATCAGCATACATATTTTAAAGACAGTCAGGGACCAGGGGATTTAAAATATTTAGGGTGTGTAAAATATTTAATTTATTTAAAATTGTAAATCGGCCCCAGCTCCAGAAATCAGGACCCGGGGATTTAAAATATTTAAAACAGGGCCCAAACCAGCTTAAAATATTTTAAATAGTTTAAATCGGGGCCCGGGGATTTGACATATTTAAAGTACTTAAAATATTTCAACTAGTTAAAATATCTACATTATTTTACATTGTAAATCGGCCCCAGCTCCAGAAATCAGGACCCGGCGGACCCGGGGATGTAACATATTTCAAGTAGTTAACATATTTAGGCTTCAACTCAGTTTTTATATTTTAAATATTTTAAATCAGGGACCCGGGGATTTCAAATATCTAAAATATTTAAAATATTCAATTTATTTAAACTTTTAAATCGGTCCCAGCTCCAGAAATCAGGACCCAGGAATTTAAAATACTTAGAATATTTAAGCCTTACATCTGTTTAAATATTCAAAATATGTTAAATCAGGGACCCGGTGATTTAGAATATCTCAAATATTTTTGAAATATTTATTCCCGAAAGCATGGCGAAGGGTTCTTCCGCTGGGTTCACTTGAGTTGTTCTCATGAGAGTCACTACAAGGTGTCATTGCAAGGAAACATCATCATGAAAGTCATTGCAAGGAGTCATTGCAAGGAGTCATTGCAAGGAGTCATTGCAAGGAGTCATTGCAAGGAGTCATTGCAAGGAGTCATTGCAAGGAGTCATTGCAAGGAGTCGTTGCAAGGAGTCATTGCAAGGAGTCATTGCAAGGAGTCATGCAAGGAGGCAAGGCAAGGAGTCATTGCAAGGAGTCATTGCAAGGAGTCATTGCAAGGAGTCATTGCAAGGAGTCATTGCAAGGAGTCATGAGAGTCATTGCAAGTTGCAAGGAGCCAAGTGCATGGAGTCAAGTGCAAGTTGCAAGTGCGCGGAGTTAAGTGCAAGTTGCAAGTGCAAGGAGTCAAGTGCAAGTTGCAAGTGCATGGAGTCAAGTGCAAGTTGCAAGTGCAAGGAGTCAAGTGCAAGTTGCAAGTGCAAGGAGTCAAGTGCAATTGACCTGCGAGGAATTAAAATCTCTTCTTAGGGCGGCGGGGTAGTGCCGACGACACTACACGAAAATCGACCCTCTGCGGGGATCGGCGTGGTCGAGGTGCAAAAACTCGAGGTTTCTTGCGATTTTGTTTGGGCTCGCGCGACCCTCTGCGGGGTGGTCGAGGTGCAAAAACTCATGGTTTTTGCGATGGTGCAAAAACTCGAGGTTTTTTGCGATTTTGTTTGGGCTCGCGCGACCCTCTGCGGGGATCGGCGTGGTCGAGGTACAAAAACTCGAGGTTTTTGGCGATTTCAGCGGTGCTCACGCAACGGCGTGGTCGAGGTGCAAAAACTCGAGGTGTTTTGCGACTTTTGTTGTTCGAACTGGTCCTCGGGAGTTGTCTCGCGGTTCGCGCGCCTGCTCCCGGGACCGGCGGGTCGCGGGTTCGATTCCTCCCTGGTCCGCGGGCGGGCGTCGCAAGATGCAACTTGCATACAGCAACTTGCGCAGAGCAACTTGCGCAGAGCAAGTTGCACAGCCTGGATTGCTGCCGTGGCCTCCGCCTTCCGCAGCAAGGTCACGTCGCGCGGGCTGACGCGTGCTTTTCTTTCACTCAATGAGCCAACAGGCCGTGAGCCGCCTGCCGCTGTCTCGCGCTTGCTTCACGAATGCTTTGCGCAGGGAAAAGAACGCATCCTGCAGCGTTGGACCGACCTCGTTGCGATGTTATGCTTTCGGGCCAACCGTGGTCTAGTTTATTAAAATATATAAATAAATTTCCAATCGGCCCCAGCTCCAGAAATCAGGACCCGGGGTTGTAACATATTCAAAATATTTAACATATTTAGGCCTCAAATCAGTTTTCATTATTTTACATATTTTAAATCAGAGACCCGGGGATTTAAAATATTTTATGTATTAGCATATTCGAATCATTTAAAATTTTAAATCGGCCCCAGCTCCAGACATCAGGACCCGGGGATTTAAAATATTTAAAATATTTCAGTTATGTTGGGCTGAAATCAGTTTAAATATTTTAAATATTTTGAATCAGGGACTCGGGGATACAACATATTCTTTTAGAATTAAAACCTTAAATCGTCCCGAGCTCCAGAAATCCGGGAGATTTAAAATATTTAAGCAGCATTCGGCTGGAAATTGTGCTAAATTTGCAGAAAAAGGTCCCGCGACACATTATGCATACTCTACCCTCTTACGGGGGGGAGGGCGTGGGAGTGGCGTGGGAAGGGTTGGAAGAGTGTACCTGTGGGCTGAAGCACACGCCCCCAGTCCGCACCTGGAATTGGAATACACCCAAGAATGAACCGTGTCTCGAAGACATTCTTACACGGCCGGACCCACTCCCGAGCGACCCGGCAATAGTTTGGGGTTAGCCGCGCATGCGCAACTTAAGCGTGCTATTCGTTCCGAGTTACGCATCTGAATGGTTGGCGTTGATGCTTTCATTCAAAAGGTGTGTTTGGCGCTTGTCCATCTCGAGGGATGGAGTCGTGGTCACGTGTTGGTGATTTGTGATTGGTCAAAGACCAATCGCGGGCGGGGCAGGAGGCAACATATTGATGGATGGTGATTGTTCGGCTGGCGGATGGTTGGATTGGTGAGTGGGCGGCTGGATGGACTTGTGGACCGGCCTTTGCCCGAGTGGAAGCATTGGCGGAGGGATGGAGGAATGGACAGAGGCGGACTCATTTGGCATGTGGATGTATGGCTGGGGTGCATGGATTGATGGCTGCAGGCATGCATCGATGATGAGTGGGGAGATGTGGCATGATGGGACTGGCGACATATGCACCGTTGGGCTCTGGACTCTGTGAAAGGTGGGTGCGGCATGGGTGCATGAACCCGTGCACCAAATGGGCAAATGACCTTATGACGCGACAACTGGGTGGTAGCCGAAGGGAGTATCCAGTTCACCGGCGAGCCTCTTGCCAGGTGCATGAAACCACAAGTTGCTCTCCCCCTTGCTTAACCTCAGCGAAAAGCCGAAAATCTCAACCAGGGCCCCGGGGGGGGAAGCGACCGCGTCGGCTTCCTGGGAAGCCGGGTTCATAGCAGGCCGTCGCCTGGCCGAGATCCGGAGCACCGTTTTCCAGAAGGTGGAGGCGGGGGAGGTCGGGAAGAGCTTCATGGCCTTAGCCACGGAGCGATCCATGTGCCTTGGCGTTGGGGGTTTTGGCTTTGGCTTTTTCCACCGGGAGGAGGGGACCAGGGGCAGGCTTGGAGTCTTGGGGGAAGTGGGATGGATGGCGCATGGCGAGATTCGTGCACTTGCACACACGAAGACCTAGAAAGCTCCAGCTGAATAATATTGTTCTACACGAATCCACGAATCAACCAAACCTGCAGCTGACAAGTGGGTTATTTGCGCACAAGCGCTGAGAGGCCACGCATGCATTCAAGCCGAACCTTGAAAAGACCGACAGGGAGACGCGAAGAGACAGTGACTATGACAAAGACGCGGGCAGATAGGGGTCAAAGACAGTGCCAGAAAGGGAGGAGAGAGAGAGAGAGAGAGAGAAAATAAATTCAAGGGTTGAGAAGCAGAGTTCTTTCCATTCGAAGCCCGCACGGAATGTGGTCTCAATGTTTTTGTTGTTTCGACGGCGTGCCTTTGATTGCCTTTACTTACGGTTGGAAGTCACGAAAGTCGAATCCCAGGTAAGGAAGAAAAGGACCCCATCAAAAGGCATTCATGCAGGTCCTGGCAGATCAAAGTATGCGGCTGGGGCAGGGTTTGGCAAGCAGGGAACGCTGTTTTCAGGGGGCCTCAGCTCGATTGCGACGGGAGGGCTACGGCTCTCAGGTATGGCAAGCAGCGGCTGGATGAGATGGTTTGGATCGCGCTCTTTGCCGGCTACGGTGGTACGGGCAACTTAGCCTACGAGACCCTGCGGATGATTCTGAAGGAGATCAGCGCTAAGGGCATGAGCTCCCTTTTTATTTTCCAAGGCATTGGGTGCTTTGCCCTGGAGATGTGGGCTTCTGGCTAGCAAAAGTATACGCAGCTGTTGAGGTGAAAGGACCTTGTCATTGCAAGCATGCCACTCCATCTGCCTGCGCCCCCCACTCAGCAACCGGCCCAATCAGCCGTCCGTCAAAGCAGCCCAGCAATTGTCGCCTTGCCAGATCGGCTTAGGGTTTCGGCTCTTACTTGCGGCCGGGTGCACTGCCCATTGCCTTGTCCCCGCGTCCAGACAGCTTAGCCGTGATCTGCGCCAGGACCCGAGCATGATCAAGCTCTTCCGCCGCGATCCGGATGCCTTCATGCTGGAGGCCGCGCGTGTGAGGCCGCCCGTGGGCGGCATGAACCCCTACCAGTTCCGGGAGCCGCAGGAGATCCCGTTGCCCTCGGCGGGCAGGACTTGGACAGCCAGAGCAGGTGGGGAGCTTGGCCCAGTGCCCCTTCTTACCTGTTTAAGAGCATGCTCTGCGAACCGAAATGCTGAGAAGTGGTCAAGACTATGCACTTAGCGCGTGTTGTTGCTGGGGTCAGGCCTTGTGTGACTCTGGCGTCATCCAATGCATCAAGATTCCCTTCCCTGATATCCCGGTCAGGGGGGGAGATGCGCTGTCCACCACAAAACAACAGGTGTCAAGTGCGCTGAATGAGACGTATTGGTATATGTGCAGCGATGCGCACCACCCACGCGCAGGGGATCTGGCTTTCATGCTGACCAGCGCGGCCAACAATGACCCGCTGATTTTCAAAGATCCTTCTGCCTTCATCCCTGGCCGAGAGAACGCATCGACCTCAGACCTGCGCTGCTGATTGGGTGGTGGTCAAGCCTGCACACATGGCAAACGGGTCGCCGGACATGGACTGTTGCAGGGCTTGCCATTTGTCCTATGAAACGGTTGGCCATGCGACAGTCAGCGGTCAAAATTTGCAAATGAGTTCTTGCCTTCAGCTTGCATTGCAACCGGGAGTCTTCAAACACACTGAGGCAGAGCGACTGCTATCTTGGAACAACGCACCTTGGCAGAGAGGGGCCAGACCGTGGAATGCGTGCCGGGGCTTGCCAGGACTTGCTCGCTGTTTCTTCATGGCCCCAGGAAAGGGAAGTCACGTAGCAGCCGTGATGGCAACAAGTCAAGACGGACCCGAGACACTGTTGCGTTTGCAGGGGGTCAGAAACAAACTAGCCGGTTGTGAAGCAAGGCATTTGCTGCCTTTTCGTCTTCGACTTGCCATCAGCACCCCTTCAGATGCGGACCAACGGCACGGCAACGCCCTCAATCGGATGGAGTTTGGGTTCTGTGGCAGTCTCAAATGTGTTGCTGAGCCAACCTTGTGGCATTCGTGTTTTCCCCCCCCCCCCCCCCCCAAGTTTGGCAATTCGCTTGGTTCCGGAGCAGCGCCCCCCAGTTTCAAGTCCACTGGGCTCAGCTGTTCTGCCCGACCACACGGCCAAGGAGTGGGGGGACTTCAAGAGCTGCCCCAGCGTGGCCGGGTGTCCTGCGGCGCCCCGGGGCTGCCCTGGCACCTTCTTGTCCATGCACCTGGCCAAGAACGCAGCCCCTCGGGCCCATGGGTGGGGCATAAGGCCGGTGTGAGCAAGTAGTGTGCATGTTTGCCAAGCCGGTGCCCTGAACCTTGCCATAGCTTTTTGAAACGCTTCGCCCGGCTGGCCATCGAGTCCTGCAGTGAAACTCTTGCAGCTCCTGTCAAACAGGCCAGCGATAGGGCTGCGAAACAGGACGCTGCCAATTGCAACAGAATACCACGTGACCAACGGCACGACGGGCCACCCCCTGGTTTAGACATGATCAACCACCACTATGTAAACAAACGCTAGTTGGTGTCCCTTGCATGTTGCCTGCGGTTTTTGTGGGCCCAACCCTCAGCAACACTGTGAAGCGTTTTGCCACCAAGATTGGGCCAACATCTCCACAATACAGAATCGAGAAGGAAAGCAATTTCTACTTAAAGGGGCATGGAAGGTCAGGTAAGTGGTAATAACCATGGTTGTGACCCATTTACCATGGTTATAAGTATAAGTCTCCCAAGTGGGTAATGACCAGGCTTACTAGCCACTTACCAGTACCTTGGCGACTTCTTGGCCATGCCAGAAAACACAGATTTGTCTTTTTCAGGGTTCCAGGCATGCATCTTCGGATCACAGGTTGCCTTCTTCATCGAAGGCATGGAGGCCAAGCTGAAGAGCCCGCAGTCCGAGCTTTGAGCACTGAGCTCGCAGCACTTTGAGTCAATTCGTTGCGAGATGCGTGGTTTAGTGTGGGGAAGGCTGCGGCGGATCAGGCTGCGCATCGTTTTAAGACCGCCGGCTGTCCTGGTTGCGAGCTGACAGGCGGCTGCAGATTGGTACAGACATCGACAGACGGCAAATAGACGCGTTCGAAAGGCCAATGCTCAGGCTCTTGTGGAAGAAAATGCGGTCGCCGTTTGAGCCCAGAGCGTTGAACTTGTTGGGTACGTTGAGTGGGGCGGTTGGAATTGGGACAAAGCTGAGTGCGATCACTTGTGGAGAGCTGTTTGAAGAACATGCGAAGTGAGCGTTTTTTTTGCAGCTTTGCTTCTGTCAGATCCCTTGCACCGAGTCTTTAGGTCTTTTTACAGGTCGGGCTGCTGATTCTCAGGGCAGGAAATCCCCAGTGCCAAACCCCCGCCCGATCCCGGCCCCTCCATTTGGACGGCCAAATCCCCGGGCCGGCGCCAGGGCCCGGGGCCTCATGCGGGCGGCGCTGGCCCGTGAGGACGCGATGTTTGCAGACGAGGCCGATGGAAGTTCTGAGCCATGGGCACTGCCAATTTCATGTCCCAGGAATTTCAACCCTTTTGCAGGTGCTGTAGCGCTTGGGGCTCTTGTTGTGTTCGGCCGCCGTTGGCCAGACTCAAATGCTCCCTAAACTGAAGATGGTCCCAACGAAAAGTCAAATCCCGCCATTCCCGCCATTCCCGCCCCAAAAAAGGTGCCTCTTTTCCCATGGCCACTGCAGACCACCCCAAAATCCCATTCATGAAATTTGACCATGGGCTGGAAAACCGCCAGGAAGGTGGATAAGAGGAAGAGTTCCCCACGGCCATGTGCGGGCCATTGATCAATTCTGCTCCCGAGGCGCTGGGCGTGCTGGGCCGCTTGGAGCACCACCGCAAGCTGCGGCTCACAAAGTCTGCACCTCGCCAGGGGTTGATGGAGTTCGGGTTGGGGGCGGGTTCGGGTAGGAACTCGGGTAGGCCCAGGATGAAGGGATCAGGACTGTGAGTCTTCAGTCCACTTCCGCTACACCTTGGCACACGAAGGGCGCAGCACATCGCAATGTCCCTGGCCCCCCAACCCCCAACGGCCAGATGCCACTCGTTGGCTTTGCGGCGGCCGAACCCATAGCAAAGCATCGGGTGTTAGGGGGCAAACGGCTTGATTCTCTGCAGCTCCCCCACACAAAGCACCATGTTTCACCTTTTTCCCCAGATAGCTGAAAGCTATAGGGGTTCTAACTTCTAAGAAAGAAGGGAAAGTGATTTGCGAGCTTGAGGTCCGGGTGCTAGGGGGCATGCAGTTTGGGGTGCTGGTGGATGCTGTTTTGCGAGCTTGACGGCCGGGTGCTAGGGGGCATGCAGCTTGGGGTGCTGGTGGAGGTGCCACTTTGCGAGATTGACGGCCGGGTGCTAGGGGGGAACGCAGTTTGGGTTGTTGGGGGAGGTGCTGTTTTGCGAGAGCGATGGCCGGGTGCTAGGGGGCATGCAATTTGGGGTGCTAGTGAGGTGTTGCTTTGCGAGCTTGACGGACGGGGCATGCAGTTTGGGGCGCTGGTGACGGCCGGGTGCTGGGGGGCATGTAGTTTGGGGCCGGGGCAGGTAGTTTGGGGCGCTGGTGGAAGTGCCGCTTTGCGAGATTGGCGGCCGGGTGCTAGGGGGCATGGATTCTGTTTTGCGAGGGCATCTAGCTTGGGCTGCTTGTGGAGGTGCCGCTTTGCGAGATTGACGGTCGGGCGCTAGGGGGGCACGCAATTTGGGGTGTTGGGGGAGGCGCTGTTTTGCGAGAGTGATGGCCGGGTGCTAGGGGGCATGCAATTTGGGGTGCTAGTGAGGTGTTGTTTTGCGAGCTTGACGGCTGGGTGCTACGGGGAATGCAGTTTGGGGTGCTGGTGTGTGTGTGTGTGTGTGGTTGCTGGTTCCATAGGTCTCTCCCCGCGCTCAAAACCGGGCGGACATAAGTCTGAATGTAGCTAGTGTCCACCAAAGGGTCCATCTCCGATGAAGATCAATTCCTATGTTGCAATGCTTTTTGTAGCAACATTGCATCGATGCTTGCAGGAGCTGCCACTTTGCGAGATTGGCGCTAGGGGGCGTGCAGTTGGGGCGTTGGTGGATGCTGTTTTGCGAGCTTGACGTCCGGTGCTAGGGGGCATTCAGCTTGGCTGCTGGTGGAGGTGCCGCTTTGCCGGGTGCTGGCTTGCAGTTTGGGGTGCTGGTGGATGCTGTTTTGCGAGCTTGACGGCCAGGTGGCAGGGGGCATGTAGTTTGGGGCGCTGGTGTAGTAGGGGGCATGGTGGTGCTGGTGCAGGTGCTGCTCTGGGGTGTTGTTTGAGGTGCTGGTGAAGGTGTGGCGCATTTTTGCCAGATTGATGGCTGCATGCAGTTTGGGGCTCTGATGCAGGTGCTGTTTTTGGGGTGGTGCTGTTTGAGGTGCTGGTGACGTTGTGGACGCAATTTTTGGAGATTGCTGGCTGGTGCTGTTTTGGGTTGCTGTTTGAGGTGCTGCTGACTGCGCTTATTTAAGCCATAGGGGTTCTAACAGAAGGCGCGGTTTTGGGGCGCTGTTCGGTTGTGAGGTGCTGGCGCAGGTGCTGCGTTGGGGTGCTGGTGGGGGTGCTGTTTTGAGGGCGGGCGCTGTTTGGGGCGTCGCGGTTGTGGCATCATCATGATGCTGCCCGCAGCATCATGGTGCTGTCAACTCCATCGATTCGGACGCTGTTGCTGCCCTAACTGTGGCGCGTAGTGGTTCGTGGCTGGTGTATCATCATGATGTTGTCAACCACGTCATGGTGCTGCTGGAATCGCTGCGATGCTGCGTTATGGCTCGTGGGTGCGGTGGCGCAATGATGCTGTCAAGATCAGGATGATGCTGAATTTCAATACGCTGTTGCAAGATGATTTGTGGCCGTGGTATCATCATTCGCCTGCCTTTGCCATCACAATGATGCTGTTCGCATCACCGTGACGCTGCCGGCATCACCATGATGCTGTCCGCATTATCATGATACTGTCCGCGTCACCGTGATGCTGTCGAACTCGTCAGGACGTCGTCTCTGCCTTTTTTCTGCCGAATGGTAACGCGGAATCGTTCGTGGCTGGTGTATCAGCATGATGCTGTCAACATCATGATTCTGCTGCTGCGCTCAGTAGGACGTTGGCTGCGCGTTTATTTGGCGCACCATGCTAAGTTGCTGTGGTATCATCATAATGCTGTCAACATCACCATGATGCTGTCAACATCATCATGATGACGCGGGAGCCATTATGATGCTGCGTCATGGTTCGTGGCCGCGGTGTGCTATCTGGGGTCTATGCTGGTGTAATATTTTTTTAGGGGTACCTCCAGAATGATGATATTTTCCATTTCGGTTTCTCTTTGTCACCAACCCCAAGGGCAGGAACAGACGAGCCCCAAGTGAGACAAACAAATGCCAAGACCAGCGCTTGCTCGCCCAGGAGCTGCGCTCCTTTGCCTTGCCGCTGCTGCGCAGGGCTTTGCGGTGGCGCTGCCCCAGCGACGTGGAGGCTGCGGAGGACAGCCGGCCGCCAAACTGGGGCTGTGATCTTGGCGGCTCACAGCCATCCGGTTCCTTAGCTTTTTGGGTGGTGTAGGGTAGTGGTTGGATTTCCCGTGTCACTTTGAGGGGAGATGAGGACAGCCTGGTAGTGAAGAGGGAGTAGTGTTAGTTGCTACAGTAAGGTGAAAAGTAGGGGACCCCGTGGTGCGTCGCGGGCACAAAGCACGCGAAAGTGGGTCCTTTCCGAGTCGTTTTGATGGGGTGCTGTTGTGGCTGTCTGGCGTGGTCGGGTCTTCCTCAGCGTTTTGCTTGCTGGATGCAGGGGTGGCTCCTTTGCCGTGATGGCAGTGGGGACCCAGGAGGTTCCTCGCTAATGGCATGGCAAATGCATGGCCCACAATTCAGCTCTGCAGCTTTTTGGTCGTTCCAAATGCTGCCTCTCTGTTCAAATTGCGGGTTGCCATGACCAGGACATTATATCAATAGCTACAATTAGATGGAACATACCGCAAAACATGCTGGCCCTGCGATGAAGAAACAACAATCAAGTTTAGAAGAACTGGACATGTTGACAAAATGAGAGGCGCAATAAATGAAGACTATAGTTCCGACATCCAAAAGATCCAGCAATACGTGATGGTGAGTGAGGACTGCTTTTGCAAGGACATCTCCCCACTATTCGCTTTGACCACTCTCCAGAGGGTCACACTCTAGGGTTCAGGTTTATCACGCGCACTTGGCAAGTGCGCAGCTGCCAGGGTCCTTCCACTATTGCCAAGGCCCCCCAAAACCCCTCCCATAAGCCCGGATGGCACAGGAGTTGGCGAGCTTGCGTACGCAGCTTGGCATGCTTGGCGCATTTTCCCTTAAGACCCAGGACCTGCCGGCTTTGAAGGGCGCTGATTCAACCCAGTCTACTTCCGAGCCTATGATTTTCCACCATTGACACATTTGCGAGGAGAACTTGTGGGTATTCTTTGGGACTCATGCGGCTCTCTTCAGCTGAGCAGATCAATAGTAAGTACATCAAAAACTCACCGGTTGGCGGGGCATCTAAGATCTGCCCGCAAATGCATGCAACACACTCATAGGTGTCCCTCTGGAGGTTAGTTTGATAAACAAATATCTATTTTTCTAAAAGGTCACCTATGGCAACGCCCTTCCACCCCCTGCCACCCCCAAGCTTAGGTGCAGACGGACGCCTGAAGAACCGCTGGATTCGGAGCAAAGACCTTTGCCAGGATGCCTCTGGGTGTTGCGGGCGGGCTCGCGGCAGAGGCGCGATGTTTAAAAAAAACAAAAAGCACTCCGCTTCTCTCACGAAATGAGACCATGGTTGAAACCACAGTTGGTTGATATTACAATCCACGGTATGGCCCCGTATCGAAGCAGCATGCAGCGTGTCATTGCGCTGAGTTCGTTGCAATTTCTGCGGAGTGCAGTGCGGGCTAGACTGTTGGACTCTGGGCCATGCTCCCCGTTGTATTGATCAAAGAGGCGTGCTTGAGACATGCATGTCACCCGGATGTTTTGCAAGCTTGACAGACCATCCCCGTCGCATTTTTTCCGCAAGAGTCTTTTTTTTTTGTAATAAGAAAAGATCAAGCTTCGCGATTTCTTCGGAGTTCCTTGGGACTTTGGGAGAAGCCCCCGGGCTGCCGTGGGAGCGGCTCGCCACGCTTGCGGCCAAGGTCGGTGCTGGCCACCGAGCTGATTCCCAGCTGGCTGGAGGCCAGAGCCCCGAGCCGGATGGGTCGCGCAAAGACATCAAAGTGAGTCTATGCAGAGGTTGCAGGGTATTTTTTTTGCCCCTGTGCGCTGCATCGGGTGGAAGGGTGGAGGGGCCTAGCAGCGACTCACTCAGCACGCAGTGGCCCAGGGTGCAAAACACACGATTGCCAAACTAGTTGCATGCAGGCCCGGCTCTTGTAGCAAAGCAGCCGCTGGCAAGATTTCTGCATTTTGTGAGTTTTGCTGAGTTGCACATGCCCCCTGAATTGGAAACGCAGGAGGCTGGTGACGCCAGAGCAGACCGGCGCGGCGACCCATTGGGCTCCATGGCCTGAAGTATTTCATGGCGAGCTCTGGGGTAAAATGCCCATGGCTATCCTTGTCCACGGCGAATGGCTTCGTCGCCCGAAAGGCTCTCGTTGGATGTGTTGAGGCTTTGTAGGCCAAGGCTTCCAAGGCCGGCTTTCACTGAACATAGAGATTGCAAGGGGCCAACTGGTGTAGCAGGCACGTCCCGCTTGCACTCAACAGCCTCTCGCGGAAAAACTTGCCACACTACGTCTTACGCTTTTCGCGAAAGTATTTCAGCAACATGCAAGAAATGAGCCTCGCATGACTGGCAGGAGCAGACGTAAATTCGAATCACGCATAGCTTAGGACGGCTTTGCGTCGCACCCTTCCAACGCCCTAGGGCAACTGCTCAATCTCAAACTGCTCAATCTCAGGGATAGTGCCTATCAAAAGCAGCTAAAAAATGGCTGGGAAACATGCCTAGCTAGCTCGGGACTGGTGATGCTAAGAAATGCTGGTAGATCGCCTGCCCCAGAAGCAGATAGAGCAAATACTGTACCCGGCCTATTTCGTTGAGCACCCCAGTCTTTGCACAATCTCAGAAAGTCTCACCACTTGTCTGGTGCTTCAAGCAGGCCATGGGCACACACACACACACACACACACACACACACACACACACACACACACACACACACACACACACACACACACACACACACACACACACACACACACACACCACCACTGCCTGCCCTCCCTGCCCCTTCTGCCTTTGCCTTCTGCTTTTCACCTTCTGCAGCACTGTCGCCTGCCTTCGCCTTCTTGCAACCTGCCTTTTCTGCCCTGCAGCCGCCTGTAACCTGCAACCTGCCTTTCACCTTTGCCTGCCTCCTGCAACCCTGCTGCCTTCTGCAGCCTGCAGCCTCTGCCTTCTGCCTTTCCCAACCTGCCTTCTGCCTTCCTGCCCAACCTGCCCTGCGCTACTGCCTTCTGCAACCTGCAGCCTGCAACCTGCAGCCTGCCTTTCTTTAGCCTGTAACCTGCCTTTTCACCTTTGCAACCTGCCTTTCACTGCAACCTGCCTTCTGCAACCCCCTGCCTTTCTGCCTGCCTGCCTTACCCGCCTGCCTGCAGCCGCCGCCTGCCTTCCACCTTTGGCAACCTGCCCGCCTGCTTGCCCCTATGACCTGCCCAGCCTGCCTTTCACCTTCCTGTAACCTGCCTGCCCCAACCCTACGCTACGCCTGCCGCCTCGCCTCGCAACCTGCCTTCCTGCCTTCTGCAACCTGCAACCCTGCCTTCCTGCCTTCTGCCCTTGCTTCACCTTCGCCTTCTGCCTTCCTGCCTTTGCCTGCCGCCCTGCAACCTGCCGCCTGCGCCTGCCTTTCTGCCCTGCAGCCTGCCTTCCTGCTTCCCCTGCCAGCTGCCTTCCTGCGCCTGCGCCTGCGCCCTGCCTGCTTGTCTCGCAGCCTGCTGACCTCTTGTGCCCTGTGACCTGCCGCCCTGCCGCCTGCCTTCTGCCTTCTCTTTGACCCAGCCCAGCCCTGCAGCCCTGCCTGACCTCGCAGCCAAGCCGCCTGCAGCCTGCTGACCCTCCGCTTTCTCGCGTTGGTAAATGCGTGGCCCTGGTATGCATGCCGCTGCAGTTGGTACCTCTTGCTTCTCAGCCTGCTGGCCCTCGCCTGCAGCCTGTGGCCTGCCGCCTGCTTAGCCTGCCTTCCTACTTGTGCCGCCGCCTGCTTGCCTGTGGCCCTGCTGACCTGCCAACCCTGCGCCCTGCCCCGGCCTGCAGCCTGCTTCCTTCTGTATTCCTGCTTATTCTCTTGCTTCTCTGCTTGTCCCTGCAGCCTGTGACCTAGCATGACCTGTATTTCTGTATCGCCTACCTTCATACGCCTGTGACCTGTTGGCCTGCAAGCCTACTTCTTCCTGCTTGCGCCTCTTCGGCCTGCAGCCTGTGACAGCCTGTGACCTGCCTGACCTGCGCAGCCTGTTCTTCGCCCCAGCCTGCCTTCTTGACCTGCCTTCTGCCTCCTTGGCTCTGCGCAACCTGCAACCTGCCCCTTGCCGCCTGCCTTGTCCCTCCTGCTTCCCAGCCTGCCTTTCTTGTCCCTCGTGTGCATGTGACCTGCAGCCTGTGACCCTGCCCAGCCTGTGACCTGCAACCCTGTGGCCTGCAACCTGCCTTTTCTTCCTTCCTGTCCCTTCTCGCCTTTCTTAGCCTGCCGCTTCTGCCAACCTGTTGCCTGCTTGCCTGCAGCCTGCCTGCCCTGCTTGGCCTGCAGCCTGCGCTGACCTGCCTTCCTGTGACCTGCGCACACACTGCCGCCTGCCCGGCCTGCGGCCTCTTGGCCTGCCGGCTGCGCAGCCTGCAGCCTGCCTTCTTGCCCTGCGCAACCCTGCTGCAGCACCTTCGGCCTGCAGCCTGCCAGCCTGCCGCCTGCCGCCTGCTTCAACCTGCTGCCCTCAGCCCTGCCAGCCTGCCAGCCTGCCTTTCTTGGCCCTCGCCGCCTCGCAGCCTGCGCCTGCCCAGCCTGTAGCCTGCCTTCTCCAGCCTGCAGCCCCTGCCTTCTTAGCCTGCTGCCCTTCCTGCCTTCTGCCTTTCTTGTTTCCCTTTCCCACCGCCTGCGCCTGCCAGCCCTGTGCAGCTGCGCCCTGCAGCCCTGTAGCCTGCGCCTGTAGCCTGCCACTTCTCTTCTGCGCCTGCCTTGCCACCTTTCCACTTGCCCTGCCTTTCTTGCCTACCTTACCACCTTACCTTACTGCCCCTTTACGCCTGCCTTGCACCTGCCCTTTGCCTTTGCCCCTTTCTTGCTTTCTCCCTTTTTCTGCCTTTGCCTCTGCCTGCCCTGCCTTTGCGCACTGCACCTTTGCGCCTGCCTTACACCTTCCTGCCTTTCACGCCCTGCCCTTTTACCCCCTTTTTGCCCTCACTTCTGCCTTTGCAGCACACGCCCTGCCTTGCTGCCTTTCTGCCTTGCCTTCCCTGCCTGGACCCTCTAGGCCCTGTGTACTTCATGGGGGGTTGGCACACTTTGCGCCTGCGCCACGTACGTCGTGGCTCCCTATGTTGCCATTTCCGGAAAGCACACGCACACCCTTTGCGCTGCCTTTTGCCCTGCCTTTGCTTTGCCTTCTGCCCTTTTACCTTTGCGCCCTGCCCTTTCCTTTCCCTTTCACCTTACACCTTTACACACACGCTGCACACACGCACCACGCACACGCACTGCCTTTACGCACACGCACAGCACACGCACACGCTGCGCTGCATTTGCGCTTACACACTTTACTACCTGCTGCTTGCGCTGCCTTTGCCTTTGCCATACGCACACGTGTGGCGCCATAAAGAACACAGAACCGTGCAGAGTACATCAAAAGTTATTTCGAAGGTTCGCCGTGGGGATTGCCGTTATGTTGGACATTCGGATGTCATTTAGAACGTAGGCTATTGCAATGTTGTACATGCGGATCAGCGCTTTTGAAAGGAGAGCCTGGTATGTGTTTGCCAAGGCGCTCACCTCTTGTGCAATCCAAGGGTAGTGGTCACCTTGCAGAATCGGCTCAATCTGGACAGAATTTGGTACAGTTGGGGGGTCAAAAATGGGGCCACCCTTTTTGGGCACATGGTTTGTGTGGGTCCCTTCCTTAAAAAAGGGTCCAAAAACGGGTCCATATTTCTGACAACCCACCAGTTGAATCTGACATTCTAGATCTTTGTCCTTGACACAGGTGACGGCGATAGAACATAATAAGGTCCTAGGTGTAGGTTTGAACGTTGACCAAGCAAACTATTTCCCATTATTTCCTTGTGTTCACTTGTGTTCACGAATGTTTGCCGAATTTCAATCACTCAGGAAACGGATTATATACTGAGGAATATTTGCTGAGAACCGCTGAGCCAACAATCTCCTGCTTTCTTTTTCGAGTTGATAACCGTGTTTCTCTTCTTTTTTTTCTTCCGGTTTTTGAGGGAGGCCAAAGGCGTTCCAACTGGTTTGGGGCCTCCAGAGCTGTGTTGAGCCCCGTTGAGTGCGCATGAGGCTCAAACTGGCGGCTGAAGCCTGGGAGGCTCTGAATGTAGAGGCCGGTGGCCGGTTTGGACGTGATTTGTCACCTTTTGCCATCTTTTCAGCTTTTACCCTCCAGAACCAGAGGTTCAGCTTTGTTTCATCTCTCTAATTGGTGGCTTGGTGGTTTCGTAAGGACGGTTTCCCCTCTAGAATCGGGGACAAGTTCAAATCCAAATCCAAACCGCAATTCCAAACCAACAGCTAGGGATAACTTTGAGCATTGCCCTTTTGCGTTTTCTTTGATTTCCCCTTTTTGAAGGGGGTCTAAGGCTGGCCAAGGAACATCTTGATTGATACCTCCACCCCCAATTTATTTATTCATTAAAACTCCCTTCTCAGCTATTTACTATCCCTCAGAGGAATGGATACACATTCGCTGTTGTTTATTTGGGGAACATATTCTCTAAGGGAGAAGGTATTAATCGAGGGAAGGGGGGTTCCTGCAAAAACACAATCCCAACTTGAAGAAAAGCACACGCACATTGTAAGTTGTGTGTTAAAAAAAGGAACAACAACCACAACGGGTCGACATCATTTGTTTTGTGGTCGTTGGCGGTGTTTGCCTCGAACAACTCCTACGAACAGGACATCGAGGGGGCAGTTCTCCACATGGCTGCGTGGGGCTGAGAATCCATTCGCAAATTGGGCCATGGCTGCCAGCTATGGCACCCCTGGTGAAAAATAATCCCCTGAGCATGTTTAGCATAAATATGTGTAGATACATATATCACATACACACACACATATATATATATACACACGTATATACATATTTTTATGTATCTATATGTATCTCTGTATGCAGTTGAGCGTTCTGCAAGTTCCCCAGGATCTTGTAACACATGAGGCACGCGGCAAGATCTTCTTGCAATCCACCGTCCTGACACAACCTTCAAAGCGAGCCATTTCGTTTGTGCTGACAGCACCATAAGAAGGCTTCGGCGTGTTGCATCGTTTTTGTCCGACACTGGCAAGGAGAGCCATGGGAGGGGTATGGTCTTTGCTCCTGAATGCCAATTAGTGGCTGGTTGCCACATGTTGCCACTAAATCCCACTCGGCTTGCTATGGCTCTGAACGAGTTGACGACTTCGCGGCGCCGAGGTCTGCCTCGAGCTGGGGGCCTGTCGCGAAGTCCGTCGGTCCTTGGAGGTTCTGCTGGACAAGCAGGCGCCCGGGGGGCGTTCTGATCGTGCCGGGCGGGGTGCGTTTGTTTTTGGCAGTGATTTAACAAATCGCAAGCTCACTGGTGGTTGACGGCAGGGTCAAGCTGACTTCAAGCGCAGCCATCTCAGAGTTACATGGGCCAGGTTTTCACAAGCCTCCAAAGCGTTCCCATGTCCCCGGCCCTGTGCGAGAGGCTTTGTTTGGCCGAGTCAGTGAAAGCGACATGCGCAAAATGACCCGCTACATGGAGGTAAGAGTGACTTCCCCCCCCCCCTGCCCCGCCCCCTGGGCTGGATGTGAGCACCCCTCAAAATGGCAGGCCACTTGGGACCCATCTGAGCAGGTAGACCTGCGCCTGGCGCTGCAGCCTCTTTTCCTCGCGGATTTGGAGGCGATGCGAATCAATGCGGTGCTCCAATGCTTGGCTTCCGACAGGTCCCCAATGTTCGGAGGCCAGATGCAGCCCAGCTGCTTCCTGTCAGCCACAGGCATGTAAGCGTGAGGAGGAAGGCAATGTGACAGCCACACCCTTGAGCTCGTTCGGTGTCACGGGGCGTTTTGCTGGAGCTTTTGCGTTTCTGAGAACTTGACCAGCTGAGCGGCGATGACCAGTGTTTGTAAACACACAGTGTTCCGGCCAAGCTCCATTTTTCAAATTCATTCTTCCTCACGGGAGGCTGGGATTGAAATGGCGCCGTTGTCGCTCCTTCCAGGAACCGAGTTGATGAAGGTGTAGCATGTCTGCAGGGCCCTCCTTCAAAATCTGTTGAGCCTTGATGGAGCAACACGCCAGACACCCAGAGAATGAACGCACTGTTTAATATTTTTGTGGGGCTTTCTTTGCGGTGGCTTTCTTGCGTTCCAATTCACGATCCTCGCAAGTAGAGTTGTGTGCGGCCAATTCATCAATTCAGATGATTCCCTTGGTTTGAAGGCCATGGGGCTGGTGTCCCCAGACGCTACTTCCTCGCGCTGCCTGGCGGAAAGGGGGCGGGCAATTGGCATGGGGCAGCTATGGCTTGGACGGCGTTGGGAGGATTCGGGCCAGGGGTGAGTGTATTCCGTGCCGCGTAAGCTACGGTTCGTTCTGGGTCTGGGTCGGGCCGTAACGTACCCAGGCTGGTCTGAGCTTGTTCCGCGCGCTGCTCGCCTGGCCTTGCGCGGTGAGGCTGGTGGTTGGCCTGCTTTTGCCAGAGGGGACACGTTTTTTTCCCCAGTTGCTGTCAGGCTGGTGGTGTTTTCTTCCGACGCCATGGTGCTTTGCTCCTGATCGACGGCGAAGGCGGGGCTGTGCTTGCCGTTGAAGTGCATCAACAGGCTGCTTAGAATCTACCTTTGAGATCCTTTGAGCCAAGAGGCACGGCCTCATGTGCTCCGTGTGCTCGCCGCGTCCCCAAACAAGTTTGCTGTGGGATATGTGACGCGCCGACATCTCGCAGCCCAAATGGCGGGCGGGAGCAGAGAAGGCCAAATACCTACAATCCCTACAAGCCTTGACCCACACGGTGTGACAGAGGATGCTTGAGCCGCGAGCCCATTCCTGACAAGGACTTAAAGGAAAACAGCCCCGAGGACAGAGCTGTCTTCTTTTGTAGATACCTGGCGTGTTGCGGAGGGATCGCTGCCCAAGTCTCATTCCATGGCATGCAAAAGGGGGGAATCGGCGAATCACACGCGTACCATCATGGAGCCAAAGTGCTCCAATGCGCTGATTTTTGACCCCGTTCAGCCGACTTCATATGGCCGGCCTGGGCCTGAGTCAGATCTCATGCTTGCTAACACCCCCTCGTTGCATGCCGAAGAAAGAAGGGTGGCGAGAAAGAAGGGTGGAGTTTGCAGCCAGGAGTCTGCTTTGACGAGACATGGCAACATTCTGTAGGATCTGTCGGGTACTTCCTTCATCATGGACCCAGTGTGGGAGCAGTTGAGAGTATTGAGCCAGTGAACCGGGGCTAAGCTAGGTCCTTCCAGGGGCTTTTGCAGGATTTGCGCTTGCCCGGCTTGAGTTGCAACGCAGGGCTGAGTTTGCTCGCGTTTTGCCGTGTGACAGCCACGCCGTGCACGGGGCTGCTGCATGCCGGTGCTGAGGTTTTGCCTGAGCATTGCGCAGAACCTGGGCGGTCGAAGGCCTTGGGGCAGTGCAAGAGACCACTTCCGGAAGGGGGGCTGAGAGATAAGCCGTCAGAAGCATTCGCCCAGGTACTTTTGTTTTTTAGCTTTGCCGTGTAGCAATGCCAAAAAGGCACGCTTTGTTTTCTCCACATTGGGCAGCGAGGCTGTCCAAGTGAGTACTAAAACCCAGGTGCACGAACAGGATCCAATTACAAAGGGTTACCAGCCTGAAGTTATCAGAGGTCAAAAGATCAGCAGGGCACCCGGCATTTGAAGGCTCATATCCCCCCTGCAGGCAGCAGGAGGACCGCCTCGCCGCTTGCCCGGCCTTAGGCGTGGACGCTTCGGTGCGTTTGGCTCAAGATTGGGCGACAGCATGTATCAGACGGGGGGCCCAAAATGGTAGGTTTTCCTTTTGGCCCCCCTTGAGCCAAGCAACAAGGCACACGCCCATGCCTGGCTGGCCAGGAACGCACCTAACTGGATGACCAGTGGCCAAGAGAGAATTTGCTCGCGGGTTTCTCAGCAAGTTTCCACTTAGTACACCAAATGACAGACACGAGATACCTCACCCATCAGCCATATGTAAGGCTTGTTTTCGGGGATGTACTTTGGATGGCTCCCGTGTATGGTTGTGTGAGTAGAGCTGCTGGCCAATTCGTATTCACAAGGATTTGCCGTTGCTCTTTTGTCCCATGGCAAACGTGGGACTGCACAAAGCCTGGTGAATGACCATAGCGCTGCTGCGGTTTCGAACCGGAATGCTCAACATACGCTTTCTGTTTGTATGATGGCAGCGCGCGGTGAAGAAAACTCGGAGTCACCCCCGCATGACATCCAATGGCATTTGCTGAGGCGGAAGAAGCCGAGTAGCGGGGTATACTTATTTCATCACTTGGTCGCCTTTATTTAAAATGGTTCGGTTTTCCGTTCGGTTTCCATGAAAACCAGCCAACAAATGGGTCCTTTCCCCCCCCCCGAAAGCCGAACCATGTGCGTTGCAGGTGACGGCGAAACGGCCTTCTTCGGCCTTTGGGACGGGACCGTGGATGACTTTGCGGCCGAGCAGGCGCCCCCAGAGGCTTTGGATGTGAGTCTTTTTTCTTCATCTCGTTCTCTTTTTTCTTGTTTTGCTTTTTCCGGTTTCTCTTCTTCTCCTTTCTCTTTCTCCTTCATTTTCTCTTTCTCTTTGTTTCGCTCTCCTCTTCTTTGTTTGTCTTATTGGCTTTCTCCCTGTTGTCTTTGTCTTTTTCTGGTTGTCTATCGTGTTCTTTATTATTATTATTATTATTATTATTATTATTATTATTATTATTATTATTATTGTCTTTCCTTCTGATTATTTCTGCTTATATGTTGATTTATTTCTTTAAAGTTTCTTTCTTTGTCTTTTGTTCTTTCTTTCCTGTTTTTCTCTTTCTTTCTTTCTTTCTTTATTTCTTGCTTTATCCGTTTATTTATTTATTTATTTATTCATTTGTTTCTTTTTTCCTGTCTCTCTCTCTCTCTCTTTCTAGCTTTCTCGCTATCTATGTTTCTGTCTGTCTCTTTGTTGTAGTCCTCTCCTTTTCAGCTTTGAATTTAGGTTAGATGCCTGGAGCAAAGCACGGCAACACAAACGAGACAAACACACCCAAAACAAGCAACTCAAGCAACCCAAGACAAGCCAAGACGGCAGTTGGCAAGACAAGGGGATGGGAGATGGGTAACTTCTTCCAAGTGGCCAGAGCCCGTTGAATGCATCTACGCTCGCCGAACCAACCCTACTCAACCCACCCGACCCAAGGGACCCCTCCAGCCGGCAGGTGAAGCGGCTGGTGCTGCTCAAGCTGCTGGCCTCTCCTGGCTGGGCCGCATACCAGGCCGCGTTTTTTTGAAGCTGCGGGTGGGAAAAGCCTCGGCCCGGGATCGCTGGGCTCCATCTTGAAAAGAGAATCGCAGATCGCGCGAAGGAAAGCGAGCAAGGCTGTGCGAACAAGCAGGGCGAGAACGCCAAAGCGCAAACAGGAAAAGAAAGCGCGAACAAGTTGAACGAAAGTCCATCGATGTCACAAAAACGGTTTGAATCAGCAACACCCCAAAGCAACGATTTCTTGTACGCTCGAATAACTAAAACGATGCAACATCTTGCAACTTGCCGATTGCAAAGCAAAGTGAAAACTCGGAAAAAAACACGTGCAAGGCGCACAAAATGCTCATGGCTTGTTGCAAAGAAATATAAACATCGCCAACGCTCGAATACTCAAAAATGACAAGTGCGAAGCACGGGCAAGTTTGCGACTTCACGCTTTTGCGAAACCGCAAAAGCTCGAACCTACATGTTTCCGGGAACGCTCGAAAGCTCAAAATATTGATTGTGAATTTTGTGTTTTTTTTTTTTTTGATTTTTTAGTTTTCTTTTTGTTCTGCTCGGAGTTGTTCTTGCTTTTGTTGCCCCGAGAATGCGTAGAACAACGTCGCCAAGTACGACTGCTTAGCACATTTACGTTTGGGGGCTGATTTCACTACAGGTGATTGTTGGAGGATGTGGTCTCAATGGATCCTAGGAATAACAGACAATAAGGGGGTGTTTCCGCCAAAGAAGAAGGACCCCCCCCCCCCCTCCAAATGGGACGCACTATGAATCAACCAGGAGTTTACGCATCGGCTGCTGTTGTCCCTGATGAGGCCCATTCGCTTGCGGGACGAGTGTTGAACGACCCTTTGACGAAGGAACATGTTTGTTTTGTTGAGGGATCCTTCTCGAGGCTTGCACCTCCATATTTATTGGTTGAATGTTGGGGCGGTAGAGGTAGGTTGGAGTGCTCCCAATCTTTTGTTTGTTTGTTTGTTTGTTTGTTTGTTTGTTTGTTTGGTTTTTATTAAGGAATGGTGTGGCTACATCTCATATGTGTGTTCGTTGGGAGTCGTAGGAGCCTCAGTTATTTGACCTTGCGAAATGGAATCAATGCTTGTGGAGCGATTCCTTTCGTCTTGCTGATGGCCGTGGCAGGTGTTTGGAGCTGAGGCTTGAGGTTCTAGGGTTTGGGGCCCTAGGGGTCCTAGGGGTTTTCAGCTGGGGTTGGGGCTTGTTTTGGGGTCTGCTTTCAAAGAGGGCGGCAGCCAAGGGCATTGGCACCAGCATCATCTGCTTGGAGGGTACCTTTTCGCCTCGACCTGTGCTTAAGGGAAGCCAAGAGTCAGAGGACGACTTAGTTTTAGGGGTCCCTCACCCTCCCTAACCTCACAGGGCGTCCCTTTAAAAGGAAAATGGGCTTTCAGGATCCCGCAAAAATCAGGTTCATGTTAGTTGGTGGGAGGGTATGTTGAGCTTTGCCACCTTAGTTTGACCAACTGCTGCCGCGGTTAAGTTTGCAAGGGCTTCGCATTGGTTACCCATGACTGGGGCAGGCGCGGAAGCGGGATGGCGGAGCTGCCACGTCCTGCCAGGAGCACCTGGAGGCGATTTCATGGCCATGGGCGTGGCTCGGGTTGAGTTCACAAGACAAAACGGCAGCCTGCCATTTTAATCAAGCATGTGGCGTGGGAGGTTGACGTTTGTGCAGCCGGGCATGGCACTTTGGCCAAAGAAGTCATTTTGCCTCAACTGGTATTGACATTACGTAGGGCAAGGCGTCAAGAGAAGACATAACTAGCGTCATAGATGATCAGATTTCTTGGCCTGCGGCAGGCGGGCATGCGAGACGCGATTATACAAGCTGACGAGGAGTGTGGCCTGGGTGGGGAAGAGAGGGTCCCCCCAAGATACTGACGGACGAAATCCTGTACCACCTAAGAAACCCTGGAATGATGATTCCCTTGTAACTACCAACGGACAAGGGTTTCGCAGGGTTTCCAGGTGGTGCGAAATGGATTTCGCCCAGTGACACCCGAAACTTCGGCAAAAAACGGGCGAAGACTCTGATTTTTTGTTGTTGCGTGGTTGCGTGCGTGTCGTGGAGTCTCTTTGACCGTTTTTTTTTTTTTGGGGGGGGGGTCGTTGCTGAGAAACAATGCAATTGCGAGGGTGATTGTCAACTAGAACAAGAAGAAGCAGAAGAACACAAAGAATAAGAAGAAGAAGAAGAAAGCAGAAGCAGAAGAAGAAGAAGAAGAAGAAGTAGAAGGGCAGGTGGTGGCCCCGGTCCTGGCAGTGATGATTGGTCCAAGCAAACAACAAACACAGCACCCTGGATTTGGGGACAACTCTTCGGAACCTATCGACTTGTTTTGAAGCCTCGCTGCATGCCAGGAGCTCATTTGTCGCTGCCGGGAAACGCAGACCCTCGGCTTGCACTGTGGGCAAGTGCTGAGTTTGTGTGTTGACTGAACGAGGCCCTGTCCTGGAGCAATTGCCATCCCCCGCCCCTCCCCAGGAACCACTATTCCAGCTGCACGGGGGTGATGGTCCTGCTGGCGGATGACGTGCTAACTGCGCTTTCCTGAGAATCTCGCGCTGCAGCGCTTGTTTCAAGCTGACTTCGTTGCGCGTGGCAGGTAGAGGGAAGGCTTTGCATAAAGTGTTGAAGAGCTTTGTCAAGCTTTGCGTTAGGCTGTTTTGGGGCTAGCTGGGGCTTGGCTGTTTAGGGCTGATTTAACAACTTTGGGGTGGCATTGGGCTGTCTTGTGTCCGGTTTGGGGCTGGCTCATGGCTTGGTGGGATCACCAGCCGCAATGCAACCAACCCGCACGCAGCCATAGGCCGTGCAAACACAAGCGCCAAACCTGGCACAAGCCAGCCCAACGACAATCCCAAACTCACCCAAGCCAAGCCGCAGCTGGCCTCAACACAGCTAACCTACCTTGACAAAGCCCTGGAATAGTATATGTGTACATACATGCGCAAATATTGATATTTCTATGTATGCGCCCCACAGGTTGAGTCGCTACATGCCGCACTTCAAGACAACTTGAAGCGCTCGTGTGTGGGTCATTGGAAGCCGAGAGCTGCTAGCCAGCATAGGGATGATCACCAGATCCGTAGGCTCTTTTGACACCGCGACCCTCTTGGCCAGACATGCCAAGCCCACAGTCACAGAAGTTTCCAGGTGAGACTAGGAGCTTGCCCCAAGTTGGACGACCTCCCTGGAACTCTGGAGAAGAAACCGCCAATTCTCAGGTCGCAAGCCTAGGGGACTCCCGGGCGCTGGGCATCATGGAGCGCGGCGTGGAACCGGCACAGGGGGAACGCTGAACCGGCAAAGCGAATGGGGTTGGGGGAGAGGTGTTATTTGCTTGTTTCAACTCCATGCTTTTGTTGCCATGTTTGTTTGCTTGCTCGCTTCCTTTTTTTGGGGTGGCGGAGGGGGAGGGGGGGGGGAATGTACTGCAATGTAATGCTGCGCACCGCAATGTCACGAAACTGTAATGCAGTTCAAGTTCATGCAATAACATGGAAGGAAGAAAACAAATGTTTGCTCCCTTCTACGTTTGCAGGTTTTACCTTGTTTTTCTCTTCTCCCCCGGAGGCTCATGTTTATCTTGATACCCTGCTGCACCTACTCTGGCAGAGACAAATGACTGGAATGCAAGCCAATGTGGGCGCAACAGCCATGCGAGACAATTCCAACCACGTGCTTCATATGCCTCAATACCCGGCTTTGATGGGAGCCTGTGCCATCTCCATAACTACATTGGAAAGCTTTGGCGTTGGCGAGGGTTTAAGGCGTACAGCCCCACAATTTTGTGGTAATCGCTGTTGAACTTTGGAGCAGGAACATGGTACACTTGTTTGAGGAGCACCGATTCTGAATTCTGTTTTTGCCCGCATGCTCAATAACCCTCGGTTCTGCATCGCTTTCCAGGGAGATACGTTGGCAGCTTTCCTCCCAGATGGCGCTTTACTCGTTTTTCGGGCCACGGTCTAGCTTCCTGTTGCTCAAGGAGTGGTTGAGGATGATATTCCGATTGGACCGTCAGCAGCATCAGAAATGCTTTTTGGTGGAAAAGGATGAAGGTGATGGCAACGGGGGGTTCTCTGCAAGCAAAGTGCGCTAAGAGCCAAGAGTATGACCGCCTCTTGGCGTGAAAGCCAACTTCACTCGTGAAAGGCAAATTGACAACATGGTTGCCTTCTAAGCGTGCACATTTGCACATCTCTCCCAAACCAGCGGAAGACTTGGATTCCATGCCTTGGCTAGGCAGCTCACTTCCGCAGGATGCATTCCTCCGCTGCGAGCCCCTGACTTGCGACCACAAGCCTGGACCCCAATGGAAATTGAGACTGCCTTGGGTGCAAACTTGGTCCTGAAAACCAGGAGTCGGGCCCAGGGCCCGTGTGGCCAATCGAGCCAAAAATGGCCAACACAGATTCCAAGCAAGTACATGGCAAGCCTTCAGTGAGCCGCAGGCTGTGCGGCAGAATGTACCGTGCTACTTCAAGGGGCATTGTGCGTCAGATAAATGGGTAATAACCAGGGTTACAAACCACTTACTTACCATGGTTTTAAGTCTGCGTTCCGTGGGTTATGCCCAGGCTTAGCCTGACCACTTGCCTGACGTACCCCGCCGCGATCCCCCTTTTGCCGCGTTCCTCAGGCCTGACTTGCCCGCCGAGCGGCGAAGGATCGAGGCCATCCAGGGGGCTGGCCCCCAAAAGTGCAGATCAGTTCCTGGAAAGGGTTTGGTAGTAGTCGTTGCTGTTGATTGGTTCTTCTATTTTTTTGCTTTGGGCCTTTTTGTGTTTTCGTTTTTTTCTTTTCTTTGTTCTTCGTCTTTATTTTTTGTCTTCTTGACTTGGCTTTTCTAGGTTTGGGCTGTTTCAAGTTGTTTGGCTTCTTGGCTTGTCTGGCTTCTTGGCTTGTTTGGCTTCTCGGCTTTTGTATCCGTTTGGCTTTTTGCGCTTTTCTGCATTTTGGGCAGTTTTTGCATTTTCTGTCTTCTTGCAGTTTCTGGCTTGTTGGGTTTTTTGCTCAAAACAATGCTAGCTTCAGCCTCGCCTGGACCTACCTGACGCTTCTACTCTCGTCGCACTCACCCTAGCTGTATTTGCCAAATCATTTTTTAGCAAGCACGTGCGTTGTGCTGATCGCGCGCTCTGGAGCCAGTGTGCTTATAAGTTGCAGGCATGTGCCCAGTGTATGTGCTCAGCAATGCGAAAATCTATTTCCAGATGATGGGCACGCACGCTCAAGAGCAGAAATCAGCACCGCACGCACCCTCGCCAAATTATACCCTTCGCACAGCGCACAACAGCAGCCGGTGTATTCAGAGCTGGGAGGATATCGGATGTGTGTGCAGCGGTGTGTGTGTGTGTGGGTGGGGGCGTCTGTGTGTGTGTGTGTGTGTCCTTCAGCAGGGTGAAGGAGATACTTAAAGGGGTAGGGTACTTAATAAGTGGTTAGCAACTTTGAGTATGCCTGGTTATAACTCACTTACCATGGCTAGAAGTCTCCGTCAGAGGGCAACAACCAGGCTTGCTCTGGGTAACAACCAGGCTTACTCTCGCCACTTACCTGACATACCGAATCGATCGCCCCTTTAAGGACTCTCTATCTGGCTACAAAAGGGATACAGTCAGCTGTCAGGAAGCCGGCGGCTTTGTGGCGGTGAATGGCTCGTTGCTGGGCGAAGGGTTTTAAGAGGGCCAGGAACTGATGTGTCTCACCGGTGTCCTTGTTGGCCAGCTGGAAGCTATGGGGTTTTCTGGTCAAATAAGCTTTGAGTGGTTTGGAGCAGCTTTCAGCGGGGTTCTCTCAGAGGGTTCCAGGGGGTTCCAGAGCTGGGTTGTAGAGCTGTTGGGGATACCACCTCAGCTTATTGTCTTGAACGCAAGTCTCACTTGCTTCGATTTTGTTTTAACCATTTTTGCAGTGGAATCCGTCGGTTCGTTCGAAAGAACACCTGGGATGCGCAACGTGGGCACAGTCTTGCTTTGGAAGAGGCTGGCATGAAAGCAATCGTTTTTGAGGGAGTCCAATTATTTCAACGTCCATGTTTGACGCAGCATTCTCGGGCTCGATTCTGCAATCATTTCTTGAGGTTTCTGTTTGGTGTGGGGCTGGTTCCGGTTGGTTCCTCACGTGTCCCCTACTCTTTTTTTGCCTCGGGTCTCTTGGGTTTGGACCCGATGGGCCTCGAGCATCTTGGGGCCGCCTTCCGCGGGGACTTTGAGAGAAAGGCGCGCTCCGGTTGTCCGGGCCGCGCGAGCTGTCGGAGTGAGCTTGCGTGTGTTCGATCTCGTCGCTGAGATCGGGCCATGTGAATTCTCGTGCTTTGGTTGGGCGGTTCAAGGGCAATCCTCTGCCTTGAGCTACAGCGGTCCCCTTGAACAGGGGCTTTCCCAAAGTTGTGGATTGTGATTGGGCACTCCAATTTGGACAGCCTAGATTGGGCCCATGCCAGCTTCGCAAGGCCCGCGGTGAGACGCCAAAGCAGCTGCAGTACTCGCGGGCCTTTGGGGGCAAGGACCGGGCTGATCGGCAAACGGCCTGTTTCCTGACTCGTCAGGCAAAACGGCCGTGCTGAACCCGCTTCGGTGTCCATAGGGAGGAGACGCATGAGCAATTGTGGCCTTGGAGTGTGCAGTTGGCACGTCAGATGTGCTTCCTGGGCGGTTGTCTCATGCTAGTTTGCTTGTCGTTTTGAATGCCCGACTACCTGCATTCCACCATGCTGCTCAGGCGCGCATCTTACAAGACCAGGGGCATAGAGGCACAAGTTCTTGCTCACGGCGAGAAGGAATCTCTCACAGCTGTTTTTGAGGTGCTTGACATGCAAGCATGCTCGGTAAACATCCCTTCAATCTCTGCCTTCAAAACTGGGCAGGCTGAAGAGGTCCCAGAAAAGCTTGGCTCGGAAGGACTTGCAGCCGTACGGGCTGTCCAACCAGCCTGACATCAAGCAAATGGTCTTGGACGTCAGACACAAGGACCGCCTCGTATTTGAGTTCTAATCTGACCATCGCGCGGCTTGCCGCAGTGTGAAACAGAGGCAGCGCTCATTCGCATGCTAGGTGCTGATTTTGGCATCCGACGGGCTGTGGGATGTGTGCTCCGAGGACTTGCAGTGCATGGGAGGTCTGTCAGCCCGCGTTTGTACGAGGCTCAAAGACAAGGGATGTAAAGACTGCCTTGCGCTGGCAGTCATCCGCTTTTGGGTGTTTTTCAATAAGCCTCACTGGGTGCCACGGTCAAGTTCGCAACACGCGAAGGAGAGAGCTGTGTGTTTGGCCCACGACGCGCCTGGCTGAGTTTGTGCGCCAGCTGCTTTTCCTGACGTATGGAGGGCAGCTCAACTTGCAGGCAAAAAAGCGAGGTTTCAGCGAGTGGGGCAACATGTGGGCCATTCTTCTTTAAGGCAAAGGGTTGCTGGGAGGCCAAACTTTCTTGACTCCTTGAGGTGGCCGATCGTGGCCTGGATCCCGCACAGGCGACCGGGAGTCGCCGCGATCCACTCAGATTTTCGCTTGGTTTCTGGAAAGGTTAGCCTGTTTCGCCAATGCAGGTGGCTTCCGGGCTTCAACGCATTGCTGAAAGGGCGGTTTAATTACTGAGGGCAATGTGATCATGCCTTCGGCCTATGGCCCCCCATCTAGGCACAGCAGTTCCTAGAGCATTTCCATTGGGAGGCACTATGTTTCCGACCCCAAACCCGTTTTTGGGACTATAAAGGTGGTCCTCATTGTGCATCACTCGCCTTGGTTTGAAGCAAGAGCCACCCCTTGCGGGCCGCGCGTCAACATTGTTCACGAGCCATGGGTCAAGCCCTTGCCTTGTGAATCTGCACTCTGTATCTGATTTCCTGACCCTTTACGGCCACGGGATGGGTTGGGTTTCGAGGGGCAAGAGAACAGGAAGTGGAGCGTTTCCAGGCTTTCCAGGCATTGGGCGCCCTTTTTGTGTCAAGCCGTCTGTCTTCGGCCAATCGGCTGGAGGCCCTGGTGGAGCAGGCGCTGGTGGAGAACCGCTTCCTGCGCACCCGGGCGGACAACATCACAGTGGTGGCGGCGTCGCGTCTGGATGGAGCGGGGTGTTCTTGCGTTGCGTTGGAGAAGGGGCGTTGAAAGGCCGGCGTGGCTTTTGGCTCTTGTGACAGTCATGGATCGTTTGTGCCTTTGGCTAGCGCAGGCTACGCCCCACTGCATTCACCGTCTTGGGCCTCCAACCGCCCACATTGCCCCTGTCCAAAGGCACCACTGACGCTTGAGAGACTCCAAACACCTAAGTTGGTCACCTAAGTGATATTGAGGAGCCCTGTGAGGACCCTGAGAGGCTTTTCTTGCCCTGCCACCCCACGGAAAGTAGGGAGCAGGGGTGGAGCCTTTCACCCTGCCAACTGAATCATAAACCTAGGAGAGATGCCGGGCCAAGGCGGGCACGGCCCTGTAAGCACAACATGCCCATAGTCTACGCACATGCTTCGCGGAGCAACCGTCACAAAGTCTGACGGCGTCTCTCAGGTTACTTTCAACTGAGAGGCTGTGGCCTGGCTATGAGCGGGTGTTTCTGTTGCCTCGCGCTGGAATCAAAGCTTGCTCGCACTCCCGAATGACCTCACCAAGACATACTTGGCTGGCAGACTTCTTCGAGTTGCAGGGAGTTGCCGCGCGAAATGCGGCTGCCTCTTGTGAACTGTGGGGTGTGGGCAAAGCTGGCAAGTTTGCTCAGTGGTTTGCTTAGATCCTGAGAGGATAGGATGATAAATCCTTCGTGAGCTGATTCTTTTAGCCCCTGAAGGCTCTTTCTTGGGTTGGCCTGGGCGGTTGCCCGACCTGAACCGCGTTTCCGCAGAGAGTCGCGGCCACAAATCCCAGGAGCAGGTCAGCTTCTTTGGGTGAGGCTCCCTGGGTTTGTGGCTGCTGCTCATGCGGTCTTTCGCGCTGCCAATGCTTAAACATTCGTCCAGAACGTTCCAGCTGCTCGAGCCAAATTGGTCGCTTCTAGCATCTTGCACTTGGCGTTTAGTTTGCGACGCCTTTGCGATATCGGTTGGAGCAAAAAAGGCTGGTTGCTGCTCGGGGTCCTCGGAAGGCTTCGAATTTGTTTGGGTAATCCTTGCAAAAACGAAGCTTGCTGGCAACTGGCAGGCACGCCACACGGGTACCAGCCGGGTATGGGTCAAAACAGGGGGCCCTTTCGAATGGCCTTCCTCTTGGTTTCCCTGTGAACCAAGCCAAAACGGGAGATGTCTTAAGTCACCATTCGGTGCAGTCCGTTGGATGACATGGCCTGCAGAAGTGCGGTGCTGTTTGGTGAAGGGCTGACAACCACTTTGGTAGAAGCGCGGAGTTTCATTTGTTCGAAGCATTAGAGCTGCATTTGTAGCTGAATCCAGCAGCAATCCAGCAATTAATATTTCCCACGATTTGCTGGGGCTCTTTTAACTGGAGACCACGGCAATGCTTCGGCCGCATGCAGCCTTACCCCCTTTTCTCAAATTGGACGCTCGTGTGCAAGTTGAACCGGCTAGAAACGGGAGGTTTGAAGCACCAGCCAGCTGGCCTTGCCCGCTTGGCGTGCCTGTCACCCGCCAGTAGTGTCGGAGGGCTTCAATCACAGCGCTTTGCCCCTGGGCCCTCGGGGGCCTGACCCAGAGTGGGGGGCCCCAGTAAAAGCTCCAGCCTTGACCAGGCCCTGGTTCCCCTTGCCAGGGAAACCGAAAGGTTGTTTCAAACAATGGGCTGTGCGTGTTTAGACATCTGAAACCAACGGTTAGCCCAACATTCTGAGACGCTGCCGGGAGTCCCTTCACCCAGGGCTCGCTTTTTTGGCGATTTGGTGCGAAGCAGCTCTCGGGGGTTCCTTTGGTGCTGGGTTCCGGCCTTCCGAGAGTGCAACAGGCATATCCCCACATGCTCTCTTTTTACATGGCCTGCTTCGCTGCTTCACGCCTATTCCCAGCCATCTGGTTCCTTAGGTTTTAGGTTAGGGTTCAGCAGTAGTTTCCATTAAACCCATTAAACGCCATGCTTTTAACAGGGTATCTGAAAACGGACAGCCCAGATATCAAGTCCCCTCCTCAATAGTGAGGATCCCCGGTGACATTGCCTGAGGGAACGCTGCCAGGGCCTAGAAGCCCGAACAAGTTTCCACAGAATGAGATCCCCTCTTTGCCAGGCACAACGCCATAAAGAATTCAGATAAACACAAATCCGGCATTTTCCATTTTGCTTTCAAAACTACAAGGTTCAACCTGTAAATCTAGTTGAACTTGCATCCGGGTCTGGGAGTCCGTGAAAGTTATATTCACCAAGGTTGTGAAGTCGTCATACGTTCCGCCGCATTTCTTAAGTCATGCCTGTCACTCGCTCGTTTTTGCATTCGCTTGCCTGTCTTTCACGAATCTTTGTTCGGCTTGGAGGCCTCCTCTTCAAGCCAAGCCGAGGTTGGGAGGAAGACATCGCACATTTGGGTCCTCGACGGAGGCTCGAGTGGTTGGGCCTCAGATTCGCGAAACACCACGTGGCGGTCGAGGCTGTCGCTTGTGCTTGGGGTTGGGCTCGGGATATGGAATGTTTGGGCCCGCCGCGGCTTAGCCTCCATTGCCACGACATCACAGGGTGGATTGCCATGCGCGAACCGCCCTTGAGGTAGGGTAAGCCACCCTGACAGCTGTCAGCCCAACTCTGATTCTTTTGCATGACTTCTTGCTTGGCGAAAGCCCCTGATCTCGAATATGACCCTTGAATACTTTGGGACGATTTGCTTGGCAGTCAGGGTTAGCGCATATTAGCAACAAGCTATTTTCACATGTTTGAGGTTATACGATTCAGGATTCATGGGCGAAATGGGGCACACACTCTCCAGGCCCGGACCGCGGGGATGTCCTACAAGCGCAGCCAGCCTCGACCCGCGCAGCGGCACGCAGAGGTGCGCAAGGAAAAAACACGGAGCTTGCTGTCAGCCCGGGCAACTTTTTTGTTGAAACAATCAGCCCCTTGTACCCTGGCTTGGACCCTTGCCTTGCTCCTGGGATTCTGATCAAGTCTGGTTGGAGTCGGCGTCCCATTCGTTGCTGGTGCTTGTCAGTGCGGTCGTGGGGTATTTTGAAGGAAGCGTGACCCACTTGGATGGTCAAGTGTGACCCTGCGCCCTGCGAGGTACACTGTTTGCTCCAGGTGCCATCCTTGCACTCGCTGAAGGGCGTGAAGGTGCAGCATAGACCCGATCAGACCCCGAGACCCAACGAGACCCCGAGACCCCGAATCCACTGCGCAAAGCGCCAAATCCACTTCAGTGGGGCTCAGCCAGAGGCCTTGGGCACACCGAGGTGTTGTGAAAATGATTGAACATGGACAATTCCAACCTCCACAGTGAGAGAGAGCGAGAGAGAGAGAGCGAGAGAGAGGCGGAGATGCTGATCGTTGAGCTGGCGGACGTGGGGCCCGGCTTCCACTGGGCCGAGCCCTGCTCCCGGGGCTGCATGCAGCTGGTCATGAAGTACGGCGTGACGGAGGCGCGAGCCACCCCCTGCGTGGCTCCACTGTTTCCATCAAAGGGGCATCTGGTAGAGCCTTCGTCATGGCGGTTTGTTGGCTGGGGCGATGTGGCTGCTTCCTTCCCTGCCTTAGACAAATTTCATTCACAGCTCGTGAGGTTGGGTTTTGCGAAGCATAGGCGTCTTTTTTCTTCTTTTTCTTCCGGATTAGGATGCCTCACGTGGCATGTTGCGCTGGCAGCGGCTTGTCAGGGCTTCTGGACTGACGGCAAGGGCGGCGTGGCTAGCAGGGCCTTCCGCCAGAGACCCGGGAGGAGTTGGGAAGAGCACCGGGCTAGAAGATTTGGCTCGCCTTTTTGGCTCTCCTTTTTTGCCTCTGTTTGGTCTTTTGCTTAGAATGAGAATTGGAGCGACTCCCAGGCTTCCAACAAGTTCCGCCAGGAAGCCTTGGCAGTCGGCACACTCTCAGGCCATCAGCCCGACCTGGACGTGGCTGCAGCCACCTTTGCCGGCACCTCCAGGCCACGGGGTGGCCTCGCGCAGTGAGGGCTGGGAGGTGCGGGACCAGGGCTGGGATGCAGGAAGCTGGGCGCACAAAGTTTGCGGCAAACTCCTAGGGCCAGAGACCGAGAAGGGGGCCATCATGCGCTGGCCAAACAGCCAAACCACCTTTCTGCACCGGCGGTGAATCAGGAGAGAGAATTGGTGAGCGAGATGCCTCCTCTGACTGCAGGCTCTCATGCGATGCCATCTCAGAGCGGGCATGCCGTGGCCTTGGGTAGGAGAGGGCAGCTTGAAGCAAGAACATGGCATTTTCACATGTTGTGTGGCTGAGTTATCCCACTTGTAGGCCCAGGAAGGGGCAGAGTCTTGCACTGGTTGGGCGTATTTCAATTTCTTCAAGATCTCACAAAAGAGCGACGCGGACAACACCGCCAACAACACTTTTCCACCACCCAGCCTGCCTTTGAGCCTGTTGGTCCCAACGTCCTCTACACCACATCAGCCTTCCCTCACGCTTTTGACTTGGAATGGCTTTCACGCACAAAGGAGCCGATTGTTGGAACTCAGCTTCCCCATTTAGCCGGTTGCGCCTGGGCTCTGCAAATCTACCCGCAGCTTTTGGCTGAAAACTTCGCAGGGAGCAAGCCATGCCGTTCGACACTGTCGACGAGCAGCGCCTTGACGTGCAAGTTGCGTAGCGCAAGAGGACGCCTTTTTGTGTGTAGACACAGAAACAGAAGGTACACCAACCACCGTCGCTTTCAGAAGGGTGGGAGCAACTTTTTCTTGCGTTCCGCGAGAAGCTTCACTCCCATCCTGTCAATGTCGAATCTTGCTCACTTCCTACTTCCCGGACTGGAAACTCTTTGGGAAGATTACGTCAGAAGTGAGCTTGCTTTGCCCCCCCCATCAAACGTGAGGACGTGCTTCGCACCTTGGTGGAACAGGTCAAAAGGTCTCAGGCGAAAGAGCAGCAGGGAAAGGGCGGCAGGGAAAGATGTCTTGCTAGTTCTCAGGCGGGAATGAGAAATGGAATGATCCCCGAGAATAAGCTCAGGTGATATCCCCAACAGCATGCGGTGCTCTTTTTAGTGCTTGCACCACCCCGCAGCCCTCGCAGAACCTCGTGGAACCCTCGTGGATCCCCGGTGGAACGCTGGTGGAACCCTGGCGGAACCTGACCTCAGGGCCGCTCCGGACCACCCCGGAGCTTATCTGGGCTGAGACCCCAAAGCTTTCAGCTGTTGGGGGAAAAGCCAAAAAACCTATGGTTTCCTTGAAGGAATCCCTAGGTTCATTCCGAAACCCTGGGCCATTCCCTTCAGAGCACCAGCAAGACGTTCCTGACCTAGCAGAGTTAGTTTGGCAGTTTGGCCCTCAGGTACACAAGGCAGCGGAAGGTGTTAGTATGTGAACGATGTCGTCGACCGAAGCTTGGCAGGAATGCGGGTTTCAGGCTGAAAGTAGTAGTGGGCATTCTGTGCCATGTTTGCTCACACCTTTATCCTGTCTTTTTCGGATTCATGCCAGGCAATTCCAATGTCGCGATTTCTAGGGGGTGGACTGGCCCAGACAGATGTGGCTAGGATGCAGGGCGTCCAGCACCGACAAGCCTACCAGACTGGTGGCAGCATCGCGGGTTCTCTGGGAGGATCCGTAGGCGGGGTCGCTGCACGACAAGAAGCGGGCTCAGACCGGCTGTTTTTTGTTTCTTGTTTTTTTTTTTTTTGGGGGGGGGGGTAGGGGCCATGGGATGCGAAGCAGCGCCCCCCTCTCCCCCCAGGTAGCTACCCCTCTTTGAAAGCTGATAAGCTTTGCCAGGCTACCAGGAAGCTTGTAGATGTCTCAGTGTGGAGGTAGCCAACTTGAACTGCCGGCGCCCAGGCGGCTCCATGCTGGCGGGGGCGGTGCTGGGCCCGGTGGGCGCCCTGGCGGGCGCCATTGGCGGCGCCATCGCTGGGTCCCGCGCTGGGGCGGTCGCCTCGGAAGGCGGGAGGGGACGGGGAGGGGGGGGGTTGGTAGGGGTCAAGGCCCCTACCATGGATATAAGTCTCCTAAGTGGCTACACTTGGCATGTACAATGGTTCTTTAAGTAGAGACGTGTGCATTGCTCCCTCTGAAGGAGCGCAGGCATTTCGCAATGTGTGCGTGTTGGCAGGGGCAGGTAGCTTTAAGTTTGCTATCATCCAGGGACTTGTTCGGGCTTGCGCGGTCCGACTGGCTGCCACGGTGCGGCGGCAAAAGCGAGAATAGTGCTGTGTCAGTACTGTAGCATGCTGCCCCAGGAGTCTGCGATGCGGGTGCCTCAGAGGACCAAGGCAATGTGACGCTTCATGTCATTCAGAGATTTGAAGCCCGAGCCCCATGAAGGCTTGCCGGTTTGTTCCGCGAAGCAAAGCAGCACCGCGACCGATGCTCCAGTTCGGCGCAGCCAAGGTCGTGGATTCGACTGGTAGCCAGATTTGCGATGCCTGCAAGGCAAGGCATTTCAGGGCTGCCTGTTGGACAGGTCAAAGATAAGGTTTTGATTGCTCCTTGAGCTCTGCGACCCACCCATCAACCCTTTCGACCCGAGAGCGCATAGACGCCTACGAAAGCAGCACCTTTTAGAAGTGGCCAGACGAAGAATTGGGTTCATGTTTTACCAACACCTGGCAAAAATGTGTTGAATGTGTGAATACCGTTCAAACTCTAGCTGGCTGGCAGGGGAAAGTCATGATGTAAGGAACAACTCTGGAAGCATTTGCAAATACGTGGGCTGTCGATTGCGAGGTTCTCATTTGAGCACTGGCATCACTGGGGAAGCTTGGAGCATCGGAACCCACGAAGGTGTTTGCCAGAGCCAAGCGGCAAGGGACTAGGAGCCCACCTCTGCACATCCTTCCAAAAGGAAAATGTCCGCGCAGCTTGCCAGGAAGCTGCCTCTGTGCGGCCTGCGGGCTATCAGAACTGGGGGGGTGGTCGGCTGGGCGCTGATTCCAGCGAGCCGCAGGCCTGCACGCGACAGGTCGCAACGGGTGGGATGATCCGTCTGAGGGAAGCACATTCGTAGCCTGACGCAGGAGTTGACCATTTTTTTATTTTATTTTTTTTGGTAAGAGGATGTTGCAAATAGCCCGTCGGGGCCATGGAAGCTCCCGGGAGCTGTGAAGGCGCCCTTAAGGCGGTTGGTTCGTGCAAGGCAGCTCATGCCATGGAGGCCCCCAATGGCACTGCTCATGCCTGAAATGAGCTTGCTGGAGAGGGAACCTCGCAGAGAGGCAGCGCCGGCGGCAACGGCAACGGCAGAGCCCACGGTGACTGACCGGCTGAGTGACACAGCGACCTCAGCTGGGAAACATCTAGGAGAGGCGGGGCCGCAATCCAGCTTGCGTTGGATCGTTCTTGATTTGAGAAGGGGGAGCGGAAGGTTTGAAGTTGCTTGCGCAGGTTTGCCTGGTCATGTGTCGTTGCTAGGAACTGTGGATATTTTAGCACCTTGAAGCCCAGCTGGCCCACAAGGCAAGAAATCACTTGAGGGGAAAGAGAAATGGATTGACCCCGAGAAAATCCATCCATCGCGCCGGGCTCGACTCTCGAGGCCGACACGGCTCACAGGAAGTTCAAGATTCACAAGTCTTACCAGGACCTCCGAATTTGTTGAAGTTTTTGTTTCTCCCCTGTTGCTTTTGAAAGGAAGTTTATTATTATTATTTTAAAAGGACGCGATTATTGTTGAAAATATGTTTGTTTGTTCTAATAATAGATTTTTCTTTTTCTCCCCTGTTGGTTTTGAAAGGAACCGATCACTTTTTCCAGGCTGAAGCAAAGAGGACGTCTCGTTGGCATCGAATCCCCAAAACCGGTTCATTCCCAACCAGAAGGTCATTCCCTACTGAGTGCCAGCAAGAGGAAAAGAGCACCGTCAGGGAGACCTCCATGCTAGATGTGCGTGGGCGAGGGTAAAAACGCGCGCCAGGCAGCTTCAGCAGTCGGAGACGGTTTGAGCAGCGTCGGCAGCTGGGTCAGGCGCGCTCGCGCGCGTTGACAGTGCGGGAGATTGGAACAATTAAGCGCAAGCTGACCTGTAGTGTCTTTGCATCTCTGTCTTGCGGGGTGGTCCCTCAAGCTGTGGCCCCAAGGCAAGGCTCAGAGCCGTCTTGGCTTGGGGGTCCCACGCAGGCTCGGGGTCCCTCTTGGTCCCTCTTGGAAAGTGGCTGAGGTTTGTTCTTGGAGTGTGGGAGACGGCGCAGTTTCGTCCCTGCGGCCTTGGCACTTGGGCAGCTTGCTGCAGGCTCCTGGGCACGGCGGCGAGGGTGGTTTTGTCAGCGTCAATGATGCCTTCTGCTTTGGCAGTGCAGTGATGAATTATGCCCCGGCCATTTGCCCATTTGCGGCGGACGCTGGGCCCCGCGTATTCAGAGATCGTTGGCCTGCATCACTGGCGAGTTCTGTTGAAGTTTTCTCCTTTGCTTGCTGGCTTCTAGCGCTGACTTCAGTGTTTCTGCCTTGGTGGTCGAGCAGCTTATGGTTGTTTGCTCCATGTGCCGGAGCGTCACTTTTCTTGAGGCTCTCGGCCTGTGTGTGGGGCACTTTGGGGGCTGTCTTTGGCAGGTTTATTCCGGCGACAGCGACTCGGTGCGCCCAAGCAAGTCTGAAGCTTCTTGACCAAGTGCTGGGGCAAGCACTTGTCTCTTTTGCTCGGGCGGGGGCATACCGCAGTTCAGAGTTTTGTCAGTGTCTCTTGCGGGCTTTGGTGGCCGTTCCTGGCATGGACACCCCATGCGCGGCCAGGACCTTCTCTTCTGGCCCGAGTGGCGAAAACAGGCCTTTACGGCCATTCCTCTCAACGGTTGTTGTGTCAAGTGCCTTCTGGGCGAAAGCATATTCCATATTTGGTCTGGTGAGCGGTCAAAACGGATGCTTCCTGTAACACATGGGATGGGTCAAAATTAAACCACCAGGATATGGACAGCAGGTGTTTGTCCTTGTTTCCATGTACCAGGGTTTCATATTGGGTACCATTTTTGTGTTGACCCACAGCCGCATTAGGCATCTTAAAGGCTCATGGTGTGCATGCAGGCTGTTGGCATCGGCCTGGCGGGTGCCCGTGCCAGGAAGTCGGTGTCATCCGCCACCGGGAGTGAGGAGCCAAAGAAGGAGAAGGCAGAGGCGCCTGAGCGTTTGTTTCCGCCGCGGGGGTTGATTAAAAGGTTCGTGATGCAAGGGGGGACCATTCGGGAATCCACCAAAAAGGATAGACTTTCCACCACAAAATGGGAACAGTTGCCCATGGTCGTTTTGTGGCCAGGAATGTTGACCAACCCCCCATGTCCACATCCAAGCCCACCAATTTTTGCCATAGTGGTCATGTTGCGTTGCTCAGTAGTTAGGGGAGTTCTGATTCTGCGCGCTTGGCTGGCTATCATTTGCAGATCGCAGCCCCATCCTTGTCTTCAAGGTCCTTGAATTCTATATTTGCAGTTTGTGATGTGTGAATTCCGCGCTGCAGGTTGCGACGTAAGAATCCTTGGTACTAGGAATGTACCCTCCGACTCGCATTGTTTTTCTCTTTTGGAAAGGCGCTTTGTGCACTTCCACGTTGGTCAGCAAGTGGGCAACAACCACTGAACCACTGAACCCGCTGAACCCCAGATTTACAACCGTGCCTTTTGTGGCTAACCTTAGTTGTTTCCCACGAAACTGCTTGTTGGGGGGAGGGTTGGTGGGAGAGTGCCCGCTTTCCCCTTGCCAGGCCTTCAAGCCCTTCGCGGGCGCGGGCCAGCCCCTGGTGCCTGCGCCCTCGGCAGCGGACCGCGCCGCCGCCCGCGCCGCGGCGGCGGAGGCGGCCATGCGGCGCTCGGGGCAGGCGGCGAGGGAGGGCGCGCCGGGCGCTCGCTTCGGGTTTCGGCGCGCGGCATCTTAGAGTCAGGCCAGCATTACTTCGTTCACAGGGTCCGAACAACCGTGATCAGAAGAGGGTCGGTGCATCGTCTGTACACGCGGAATTCGGATCGTCTGTACACGCGGGACCGGATCGTCTCTGCACGCGGGCCTTTTTTGCCCCGGATCGTTTGTACACGCAGTGCTTACTGCTATGCACAAGAAGGGACAGGGGCGTTGACAGCTGCATGTTTCCTTGCCTTTCTGTCGTATGAACATAGGAAATGTTGTGTTAGGTGGCAGGCATGTGCGCAGTGCTGGGCGGGCGTGTGTGAGCGGGTGTGCCCCACCCCACCCCAACCTCCCCAAAGCCTGACCCCAGCCCAGCCCACCCTAGCAGGCGCTCATTAAGGCGGCAGGCATGTGCTGCACGTGAGTGGGCGTGCTTATCAGGTGGCAGGCATGCGTGCAGCGCTGGGCGGGCGCGCGTGCGCGGGTGTGCAGCGCTTGGCGGACGCGCGTGAGCGGGTGTGCCCCGCCCGGCCCCGCCCCAGCCCCCACCCCCACCCCCACCCCACCCTTCCCCAAGACCGCACCCCATGTGTTGCACGTGAGCGGGTATGCTTATTAGGTGGCAGGCATGTGCTTACCATTCCCCCCCCTCCCCACCCACCCCCCACCCCTTCGGGCTACTATTCCGCATGCGTGGAAACAGCGCCTAGCGGGTGCACCTGAGCGGGCGCGCTTACCATTCCCCCCCCCCCCCCACCCCCCACCCCTTCCGGCTACTATTCCGCATGCGTGGAAACAGCGCTGAGCGGGTGCACTTGAGCGGGTGTGCTTACCATCCCCCCCCCCCACCCCCCACCCCTTCGGGCTACTATTCCGCATGCGTGGAAACAGCGCTGAGCGGGTGCACTTGAGCGGGTGTGCTTACCATTCCCCCCCCCCACCCCCCACCCCTTCGGGCTACTCTTCCGCACGCGTGGAAACGGCGCTGAGCGGGTGCACTTGAGCGGGTGTGCTTAGCATTCCCCCCCCCCACCACCCCCCACCCCTTCGGGCTACTCTTCCGCATGCGTGGAACAGCGCCTAGCGGGTGCACCTGAGCGGGCGCGCTTACCATTCCCCCCCCCCCAGCGCTGAGTGGGTGCACTTGAGCGGGTGGCCCCCCCCCCCCACCCCCCACCCCTTCGGGCTACTTCCGCATGCGTGGGAAACAGCGCTGAGCGGGTGCACTTGAGCGGGTGTGCTTACCATTCCCCCCCCCCCGCACCACCCCCCACCCCTTCGGGCTACTCTTCCGCACGCGTGGAAACAGCGCTGAGCGGGTGCACTTGAGCGGGTGTGCTTAGCATTCCCCCCCCCCCCACCACCCCCCACCCCTGCGGGCTACTCTTCCGCATGCGTGGAAACAGCGCCGAGCGGGTGTTGCTTACCATTCCCCCCCCCCCCCCCACCCAACCCCCCCAGCCCCCCGACAGTGCCGAGCGGGTGCACCTGAGCGGGTGCGCTTACCATTCCCCCCCCCCCCCACCCCCCACCCCTTCGGGCTACTCTTCCGCACGCGTGGAAACACCGCTGAGCGGGTGCACTTGAGCGGGTGTGCTTGCCATTCCCCCCGCCAACCTGAGCACTTGAGCGGGTGTGCTTACCAATCCCCCCCCCCCCCCCACCCCCCCACCCTGCCAAAAGTGTGTGTGTGTACAGATGATCCAGATGACAGAAACCTTGTGTGCGCAGATGATCCAGAGTGCATGGCGCAATAAGTGAGGAAAGCCTGTGTGTACAGATGATCCAGATTTGTGTGCGCAGATGATCCCCCGCCCTCAGAAGAGAGAGGTATAATATGTATGTATACATGTATATGTATATGATATAGATGTATATATGTATATGTGTGTAGAATATCAGGCAATCCTTAGTTGGTGGTTTGGATCACGCGTTGGACATGTGGACCCGTTGATCACAAGCGATTGGTCTGGGATTGCTCGGCCTGCGTAGGTTTGTTGCAGAGGGGGCTCCGTTTTGAGGATCGGTCAGCTTTTGGCAACGGCTGATGGTTGGTCAGCCACGGAGCTGAGCCACGGAGCTGTGTGCCTTTCCCTGCACGCCCGGCTCTGGTGCTGGCACCACAGGCTGTTCCGTTCCTGTGCTTGAACATCATGTTGAGTGCCATGTCAACAACTGACATGCAAGTGATGGCGACAAAACTTTGCTCACCTTGACGCTGCGAAATGGCAGGGGAAAACGGCTGAGCCGAAGCACATCTTGCGATGACATAGCTGGTCTCCAGCAACCGGCTGAGTTCTACAGTGATAGCTGTGCGAAGTGTTTCTGCAGTTCAAACCAGCGTTGTAGGCTTGGCCTTGGGAGGAGCCCGGTCTGTGAGGGAGGGCAACCAGCCATAAGCGGCTCGAGGCGTTCTCTTAATCCATTCCCTGGACGGCAGGCACCTGCTGGATCTAGTGGAGCCAGAGGAAGCGCGCCTGGCCAGGTGCGGGCAGACGTGTAGACGGTCCAGCGGCGTTCGGTCACTGCGTTCTTGTTTGTGAACTGTCTAAGGGGTTGGCAACATCTTTGGGTGGCTTCCCCTTCACCATGAAGAGTGTGGATTCCCCGTAGCCGTGGAGAGCCAGCCATTTTGAGGATGCCACTGTCAGGTAAAGAGTGGGCAGGTTGGCTCAGGGATCTCAGGCTCGCAGGGCTTCTTGTCATGATGTTCGATGCATCCATCTCCCATGTGGCAAGGATCCACCGGATTTGCTGCTTGGATGCGGCTGAGAAGTTCGGCCAGGAAAATCATCAGCCCCAAGTAGCCCCTCAGTCAACCGTTCGTACTCATGGTGCCCAGTTCGTCGTGGCGTGCTTTCCGTTGTTGGTTTTGTTGTTTCTCTACCCCCCCGCTCCCGGCCACCGAAAAGCGGAAAATCGGCGCCGCACGCCAAGCAACTGGGCTCGCCCGGGTCCGTCCACCCCGCTTCAGGCAGGTTCCAGCGCTGCCCGCCAGGCTGGTACAGCCGCTTAGGGGGGGTGCTCCCAGGCTCAGTTCTTGCGATGCTTGGCTTCATATGTGGGGCTTGGTCAATAATCCTGGCCCCCAAATGACCATGGGTAACTTTCCCCATTTAGCGGTGAAAGTCCTTCTGATCAACCCTCATGTCTTAGCAATTCTCTGTCTAGACTTTGCAATTCGCGCACGTGAAGAGTGCTGTAACACGTACCGGAATGCGTCAAGATGGGCATCTGACATATGCATCTTGCATGGAGCCCCTTGGGTTGCTCAAAATCAACCCTTCCTTCCGCCACGCGGCTTTTTTTTCTCTTTTCTTTTGGTGTTTGGACTTTGTGCTCGTGATTCAGATTGGGGCGAATGCCGGTCGGCTGGGCCATGCCATTCTGAGTTTTGCTGCGTTGCCCTTTTGAGCTTGAAAAGGCGATTGGGACTCTTTGCCAGGTATCTGCACAAGAGATCTCAGGTTAGAACCGTTGCAACCCGCTGGTAGGCCCCCTGAGTGGAGTTGAGCTTGTTCTTAGTGGGTTGTAACCCAGGAGTCTAACCGCTTACCAACTTGGCCGAACATCCAAGTAGGCTTTACTTGGGGATCCCACGTGACAAGATCTTGCCTGGCCTCGGTGAGAAAAAAACCGGACTAGTGAGTGAATGGTCCCACTTTATGCAGCCACTCAGCTGTTCCGTGACACCCTTTTCCTCTTTGCCATTGCCTCCCGGGCAAGCTTTGAACTACGGCGCGCTCACTTGTGATCCATGATCAGCTGGCCACACAAGCTTGGCATTGCATGCGTTCTTATTGCGACCAACATAGCGCCAACAAACCAGCACCCAAAATTCACATGCGGTGGCTCAACGTTCCATTGCTTGAAGTGATTGGGGGGAGGAGGGTGGGGTTCCTTTTCTGCGGCTGCGGCCACCGTACTGCGCACGGTGTCGCGAAGCTTCGGCCGCGCTTCTCGCTGCCAGGAATTGGACGACGAGGCGCTGGCGCGGAAGCTGCAGGAGCAGCACCTTGGAGATCCAGCCTGACTACGGATGGTTCATCCCGAAATCCAGACATCGCACTGCGGTTCAGACCCCCCCCCCCCGGTGTCTGATTCGACTCCCCAACGTAAATATCAACCAAGGTGGTTTTTCAACCATGGTTTCATGTCGTGGTGCGAAATGGATGTCGCAGCCATCCACAGGTCTCTTTGGGGTTGGGCCTTTGGCTTTCAGCTTGCCTGTTTCTGAGCCGAGGTTTGATGCGGAAGAGCGGGATGCGCGGAGCTGAGCGCGCGAGAGGTGTCCCTTGGCTCCCAGAAGTGCTGCCAAGGGCTTCACGCGTGGGCCATTTGGGCCTGTGGGGTTGAGGTTCTGAGGTAGGGGTTGAGGGGAAGGTGCGGAGGACTTAGTTCTGCGCCGGATGGCCATGAGGCTTGAGGAATGGAGCCAGAAGCTCCACGCGACACGTTTTGCTCACTTACCCCGGGCGGCAAGCAGCCAAACGCGCGGACCGGGAGAATCTCTGCCACTGTACAGGGCAACTTTGAGCGCAAAACGAGCGGTCGCATGCGCGTGCAGCAGGTTTCGATAGCAACGAATACAGTGTTTGGGCACATCCCTGCAAGGCGATTGCCTTTGCGAGAAGTATTGCCGCTGGATGAGGAGCTTTTTCCTAACCCCTCTCAGGTCATGAACGCTACGTAATCCTCTCGGATTCTGTCAGTATTGTAAGTATTCCGAATGAATTTCCAGCAGCCGCAACTTGTTCATTCTTCAGTTTTTTCTTAAATGGTGCGCATGATTTCTTTGATTTGGTGTGTGTGTGTGCGTGTGTAAATATGGCTTTTATGTTTCCCCCCTGGTGGGAGCTTTGAGCCAATTGCGCCACTTTGGCTGGGGTTTGGGCAGGTTGATGGTTCGTATGGCTTAGGGCTTCGGCTGGAGTGGGGATTGTTAGGGTTGTGTAGTTTAGAGTAGGTTCAGATGGGTTCATGAAGGGGCTTGAGGTGGGCTTAGGGTGAAACTCGGGTGAACTCAGGGGATTAAGATGGGTTTTGGGTTGGTTTAGGGTGGGCTTGAGCTGGGATTGGCCTCGTGGCTTGCTTTGGGGTGGGCTCACGGCGGGGTTGGGTTTGCTGGGGCATCCGCAAGGGCGAGGAAGCGCCGCGAAACGAAAGCCACGGCGGAAAAAAAAAAAACAAAAACATTGACACCTAAAACGCAGCGACGAAAGTCCCCCAAACGCAACGCCCCTCGTTGAAAGTTGCAGAGGCCGAGATGCCGCGGAGAAGCCGGGAAAAGTGGGCTTTGGCGAACGGTCGGGAGGTTGGATTTGGGGTTAGGCCAAGGAAGTGCTCAACAAGGCGCTTTGATTTCGACACATTCGCGCAGAAGCGCTGGAGCACCTTCTGGCCCAGACTGCGCCGGCTGTTGGCCCGCAAATGGGAGAGTATGATTCCAAGGGCATATGATGCTTACCGTGGTTTGATTTTCCTTCGAACTGTTTGCTCTCGAGTTTGAGATGTTCCACTTCTGCGCTACGCTTGACATAGCTGCAAAATGTGTGCCCCCAGGCAGTTCTCGAACATGAATTGCTGGACATTCCCGGTATTGTCGGAAAGTGAATGTCTGAGCCACTGCCGTTCGACACCCGATCTAGCGATCTTTGAGTATCCCTCAGCTCTGCATGGAATGCCGGTGGACGTGGATCTCACATACTGCTGCAGCATGGTTAGCACGTGGCATGGGAGGGGGTTTGCTTTGAGGGTATGCCCATTGAGCGGGGTACACCATGGCTGGCAGATGGACTGCAGGGGCAGACAGTACAAAAATTATGGCACCGGCTGGGCAAGTTCCGTTTCGCAGGGAGTGATTCCAACATGGCCTGGGAATGTGTTTGGTGCCCTGCTTGGAGGGGGTAGCTGGCTGTTTCTCAGGGCTGCAAGATGCAAGAGTCACAGCTGCAGCTGAGCTGAACGACTTGCATGAGTCTTGTGACTCCCACTTGTAGCATGCGCCGGCAAGGTAAAGAGTGCTACATGCCCTTGCATGGCGGTGGCTTGGCTGCAACTGTCGCGAAGCCCAAGCTTTGCCACTCCTGCGACATCCTGCGACTCTCCGTTGGATGGGCGAAGCCTTGCATTTGCTTCTCTTGACTGGGCCGCTTCCAGCCTTCTTGTGCGGGGCTTCTAGGCATTTGCGAGTTCGACCCTGAGCACACGCCGCTGCCATTGGACCTGGCTGACCCGGCGCTGCCCAAGTGGTATGCCAAGTGGCTGGAAAACTACAAGCGCCGTGATGCCTGGAGGGAGGCCTTCCAGGCAGGATAAGGCTTGCAAGGCTACGCACCGATTGCTTCAGGCCTTTCGGAAGTGTCCGTTTTTTGGGCGTGCCCCATTTTTTTGGGGGGTTTCAAAGGACGCCAAGAGGAAACCAACATTTTTTGTAGGGGGATTCCCTGAAAAAGACCCACCCCTCCCACTTGGCAGGTCTTTGGGCCACTGCCCATCCAGCCTTTGCGGCCTTTCAGCCCGCGCCTGCGGGCGCCCGCAGCGCCTGCACCGCGGGCGGAGCCGCGGCCGCGGTGCCCCGCCTGCCTCATGGCGCTGGAGGGCGGCAGCTGCCCGCTGGACCCCAGCCACGACGTGTCGCAGCCTGCCGTCGACGGAGGCGGCGGAGCTGGAGCTGGAGCTTTGCCCCGCGTGGCAGCGGTGCTGCCGAGGCTTGCTGCCAAGGACCTTTGCAAGGAAGTGGTTTTTATTCAACGCGAACCGGCCGCGGTTGGCTTGAGGGTAAGTGGCTGAGTTTGGGTCCGGGTTATTTTGAGGAGAGCCGTTTGGGGTTGGTTGAAAAGGGACATCAGCGGGAAAGCCAGGGGTCTTCCCTTAGGGAAACCGACAGGAAACCCGAAGGTCTTCCGTTTTGACACATTACCAGCTCGGTCTTCAGGAGACGGCGGTGACGCCGCAAGCTGCCAGCTTTGACCGGTCCGAGTCGGACCGGCTGCAAAGTTTAGGCCTGGCTGCTTCCATCACGGAGTGGCTACAGCAAGTGGACGGCCAGGGCTTTCTGGGCGCTTACCATGCCCGGAGCCCCAGATATCGGTTGCGAATTTCTAGGTGCATCAAAGGGAGTGCGGCCGGAGGGAAGCAACTGGAAACACCACATTTTGCTGATCCCTTCTTTTCAGAAGACTACACACTATTTGAGGTTGGAAATGGGCGGGGGGCAGTGCCAACCCAAAAAGAGGCGTCCCAACATCTTGCGATTCTTTGGTGCCAGCCCCCTTACTCATTGGCCGGATTTAAGTCCCAGCCGACCGAATGAGGAATCAACATTTGCTTCGGGCTATCCCGAGAAAGCCACCCCACAAATCAACCCTCTCAAGAGGTTGAAGCTTCTGGGGGATCAACAGCCAAGAAACAAGTTTGGTTTCTCCTTCGCAGCACGAGCCCTTTCAATATTGAACGAATTCCCTCAAATGGTTGCCTTCCGCCCCTGGGGCAAAACCAGGAAGAGGGTACGGCTGCGCTCACATCCCTACCGTGCCAAGACACATGTGCTTTCCTTGATTTACTCAGGACACGCAATTTAATTCAAAAGGCTGCGGTGTATGGCAGAGCGTTGTCACGTCAGCCTCTCCGGCTGGCACGCTGAAAGTTTCTTCCGTGAGCAGCCCGGGCACCCTCTTGGGAACCGAAGAAGCGTACCGTCACTCCCTCGCGACATAGCAGAATCCGGTACAGGGCTCCACCTAGCCAAAGAGGGAGCATGCTTGTGCATCTCCCATGTAGGGCAAGTTGCACCAAGTGAAACAAAACACTTCCCCGTATATGATTCAGAAGCCTCAGAGCAGCAGCAATCTGAAACATATTATACCTCCAACATTGAGCACTTTCTCCATGTATGAGTTTCAAACCTGGGATTCAGTGCCTAGGCTGGCCTTTGGCTTACGCTGGAATTCCTCAAAGCAGCTTTCCGCAGGGTTGTGGGGATGCTCTCTGAGGGTGCAGGGTAGGGATTCTTTTTTATGCTTTGGTGTGGTCCTTGTGCGAGCGCTTGTTGCAGCGCCATGGGCAACTTCCGGCAGGCAATCATGGCGGAGCACTTCGATTCCCCGTGGCAGCTTCTGGATGTGTGGCTGGGATGGAACTGTCACGGCTTTCTGCCGAAATTTCTTTTGACGGCAACCCCCTTGAAGCAAGTTGCTCGCAGCCAGGCCAGCAGGTAGCCAGCCGACACTGCAGAAGAGACACCATGGTTTGGTTGTGTGTTAGTGAGGGTTGGAGGGTCAACTCCATGCTGCAAAGCCACACCGTTTCGCCACGTTATGTTTAATTTAAGGCATAGCCGGCGCAAGCGTCAGTCTTCAGCAATTGCTGGGCATCCAATTGCTTGCTGGCTTGCTGACACATTGAGAGAGCTCAAATCCTTGTGCGGGAGCACTACGCTTTAAAGCTTCACTCTGGTTGGAGCTTTTGGGGGGGCAAGCGGATGGAATTTTGCATATGGCAGAAAGCTTCTCAGTGACTATGACCTGTGGCCCTTTCCACTCGGATGAGCTTTGGTTTTGAACTGGTTGCAAATCTTTGGATCCCTTCAGCTTTGACTATCAGGTATTTGCGTGGCGACCCTCAAGAGGAGGCGCAACTGGATGACAGTTTTTTCCGCGACATGGACCCTTGGCAGAAAGCGGTCGCATGCTGGCATGTCAGCAACAGGTGTTCAGTCACCAAGGGGTGCCGGTTTGCAATTGTATAATTGTGCTCGGTGTTTGCTTTGCCACGGGGTGTCACTGAGGGAGTGGTGAAGCTTGGGCATCGGCGGCTCTTTGAGAGATGGCTCTCCGAGAAAGTTGCTGCAGTTCGCACGGCGCGCCTGAGCCAAGAACATGCGGCAAAAAGATAGGTGCACCTCATCGGCATGGCGGGTTGGCTGGATTCGGGGACACGTATGCAATCCCACGCGGTTTTGGTCGCTCAAACCCGTGCGAGCTCTTGCCGATTCTCACGCCGACGGTGTGATTGATTTGGTGTGGTGCCTTCTGGAAAGCAGGAAATGTCGATCGTTGATGGTCCCGAGTCCCTCGGCATTGTATGTTTGGCATGAATACCTCTGTGTTGAGAGAGAGCGTTACGGGTCGCTATGCTCCACCCTGCCCCAAGAACCCCCAACCCCCAAGCACACCATCCCTCTCACAGCTATTGCAATATAACTTTGACCTCATGGGATTGCGGGCCCGACTTTGCTCGTTGCTTGTGGGGTTTTGGCCGAGGCCTGGATGTGGTGGATAAGCTGCAAAGGGAGCGGCAAGGCCACGCAGCCCAGCGAAGCGAATCCAGGTTCTGAAAATGCCCCCCCCCCCCCCGCCCCCCGGTTGGTCGTTGCAACCCCAAAAAGACCCCCCCCCCCCCCACTCCCCGATTTGGGTGCGGGGTCAGATGGTACTGTGGATGGTTCTCCCGAAATCCAGAAATCGCACCATCGTTCACAAACTCCGCAAGAAACATGGTTTCAAAGTGGTGCAGGATTTCGTCCAGCGCACATTGCCAATGGGTAAGCTTCCTTCGGCCAGCGTCTCTATCTGCAGTGCTCGGGATTCTAACCCTTTCACTGTCCATTGCCCATGGGACGGTGAAGTCGGCCATGCAACTTGTAACTTTGAGTCGCTGGCCAGGAAAAGGAATTTGGCAGAGCCATTGCAAGGGTTCGAGCCACAGGCGCTAGGCGGAAAAGCTTGGACCTTCTCACTGCTCAGAAGGGAATGTGGGAGTAACCCAGTCAGGCATCCACCGCTGGTCGTTCTAAGATTCTACACTCCCTCAGGCTAACAGGAACCAAGTCTTCCATTTCGGGGTCCTGGGAGCTTCCAGGTTAGTCTGGGGGAGGGTGAGCTGCCCAAAGCCAACCTTTCAGCTCTGTTTGCAACCGAAGGTTTGCCCGCTTTGGGCATGGAAGAGTTGGTGGAGGAGGCACGGGCCGCGGCCGGGGTGGCGCGTTTGTTTCAAAGTCGGGCGGGAAAGTGAGGCGCCTGCCAGATTTTCACGCAAAATGCTGAATGGACTCCTTGCGTAGCTGGCTTTCACAAGCCCTGAAAAAGGCTTGCTTTGCTCGGCGCGAAGGGGCGAGGCACCGCTGTCATAGCTGTGCTAGGTTGATTCAGGGTTGTTGCGCGTTTGAGGGTTTGAGGTTGGTTGAGTGCCAATGCTTGCCGCGTGTGGGGCGAAGTTGGCGTTTGTCGGGGTTGTTTTGGGGATATGGCTAGGTTGCTTTTTCTGACTGCGTTGAACCAGTTGCCATCTCCGCTGCATCTCACAGATCTTTGCATTCTGGTCGCTGGCAGGGGGCTGAGGCAGCGGCGGAAGCACGGAGGCGTGGGAGCGGGCTACGCGTGACCCTCCAAGCTTTGAGTTGCAAACTGATTCTGGCTCCTTGCGGGCGCTCAGACAGTGGACAGTGGCGGTGGTTTTGGCATGTTTCTGCCTTGCAGCACCCTAGAGCCATAGGCTCAGACGCTGAGACACCTCGGCCTCCTCGGGATCACTAGAGACTTGTTTATGAAGCTGTTTTGTTTTTTGTTTTTTGCGGCCGGCGGTGTGTTTCCTTCCTTTCGAGGTCTACTCTGGGGCTTCCTCTTGGCACAGATCTTGCTGGGACAAAGGGATCATTTTTGGAGCCCTTACCGCAGCTGCCCCCCAAGCCATTCTCTCACGTTCAGCTGCTTCCGGCGGTGAGTTGGAAACGCCGCAGATTGTGGGCAACTAGTCTTGCACAGAGTTTTTCAGTGGTGCAACATTCGGAGCTTGGGAAGAGACAGATGCATGTGTCAGCATTGAGAGGAGGGGGGTCTCCGGCAAGAAGTGGGCCACATGCGTCACCTGGGCTGGCTGTGTCCAGGCGGAAGCCGTTGGCGCTGCGAGGGCAAGTGTTTCCAGTGCCACCTCGCAAGAGGAGCACCGACTACTGGGATGCACTGAGAAGGGAGCTGTAAAAGGGCGGAGCTGAGCGGTCTGCGATTGACGTTCCCAAACCGGATCGCGCGGGCTGGTTTCAGACGTGGCAGATGATGAGGGTGTGTCGTTTTTGAGAGTACCCCCTCTTTGCGGTTTTAATTGGAAACCAAGGGGGTAATTGTGTTCAGGGCTGTGGGGGTGAGATGGTTGCCACATCGGCTCAAAAGCTTGACCTTCGACATGGACGGAAGTTGAGAAGAGCGAGTCGTTTTGAACAGAGCCAACTGATCCGGGCAAATGCCTTCAGTGACAGATTGTGAAGCCGCAACAACAGCAGCGATGACCTGTCAGTGGCAAATCCGCACACCGCTCGCGCTTGACCCAGCTTATCAGCCAAGACTTTCAGCATGAACGGGTGCCAGGTGGGTTGCCAGAAAGCACGGCTGCAGGCGCATGCCATCTCCAAATCACGCTAAGCGTCAAAAGGACAGCCTCACACCCAAAGCGCAGATCGCGACGATGCAATGAATGCAACGCGTGCGCGGCATTTGGAGCTGCTCGGCAGGGAACAGGTTGGCAGGTAGCCAGGGTTAGCAGTGTGGACTTTCAGCTGGGTGTCATGAGTCACGATTGGGCTTGACAACTTGTTTTTGGGCCCTTCCTTTGCTGCGATGTGATTTTCACGTGACTTGATGTGTTTGTTTGTTTGTTTGTTTGTTTGTTTGCTTGTTTGTTCGTTCGTTTGTTCGTTTGTTTTTCTTTGTTTGTTTGTTTGTTTGTTTGTTCGCTTGCTTGGTTGCTTGCTTGCTTGCTTGCTTGCCTGCTTGCCTGCTTGCTTGGTTGACTGGTTTTGTTTGTTTGTTTGTTTGTTTGTTTGTTTGTTTGTTTGTTTGTTTGTTTGCTGTTTGTTTGTTTGTTTGTTTGTTGGTTGGTTGGTTGGTTGGTTGGTTGGTTGGTTTGTTTGTGTGTGTGCGTATATGTGTGTGTGTGTGTTGCGGATGCGCCGCATGCATGGTGTCAGTTCTCAGGAATGCGCTGACGCTCTTCGAGAAGACACGCAAGCAGCGCGCCAAGGTGTCAGCCACGGTCAACGCACAGGTCGGGCATTCTCAATGAAAGCTTCCAAGCAAACCGGCCCCTAAGATTCCGATGGCGCAGACCCGCAGGACAGCTACAAGCTTATTGAACAAAATGCAGATCTGCGTTCAGCACTATTTGGTTTGAACATGGCACAGGTGTGGCCTGATCTGTTCGTGCAGGCCTCCACATAGACTTGAGCTCTTCCCCATCACTACTCCATTCTTCTCGTCTCACCGCTGGCAGCGCTAGGCAAGTTGTACCTAGGGGTGGGAGGGTATCTTCCATAGCAGCCACTCAGCGAATGGCTTTGAAAGTCATTTCCTAGGCCTGTGACCAGCCAACACAAATCTCTAGACTGACGGCTGGCACTGGCAAAGTTGAGAACCGTATGAAACCATCAGTTTGGAAATGGGTCAAGATCAAACCCTCTGGGGACCACAGGTTTGAGTCCATGTTTTCATTTACCAGGGTGGCATTTTGGGGTTACCCTATTTTGAACCCGCACACCCTTTGAGAGCAGTCTCCTTTTGTTGGACCTTTTTGGGTCCATGTTAATTTGCGCACCGGCAGTAGGGCCGGTAGCGCTGCAGAGCTTTTTCGAGGACAGAGGCGCCATGCCTGCCTCTGGACCTCTTCCTGCGCCGCTACTTCCAGGACTTGGGCGAAGTGATGAAGTGGCTGGGGTTCTTTCCCACTTTTGGGTCCCTCAGTTCTTGGCAGCTCCCAGCTATGCCCTTAGTCTTTTCTTTTTGGTGTGTGTGTGTGTGTTTAGCAAGCCACTAAAAGTTGATTTTTTAGCAGGGGATCTGGGGGCAGCAAAGAGTTTGTCGACAATCTACAACGGAAGGGGATTGGCCCAAGCATAGCCGCGCGGAAGAGAGTCAGGGGTCACGGGAAGATGGGCCCATCCTCCGCACAGTTTGGCCAAGTCGGGCGATGTGGGGGGCTGTACCTCAGGGGCCTTTTGGGATAGTCTCTGGACCTTGTCTGCAGAGTCACTTTCACAAAAGCTGTCAGTTTGGCCTCTCTGAGGCTATTTCTCTTGGGGAACCGTTGGCGTGTGTCAGGGCCACAAGTTCCTGGCGTCCAAGGATCGCGCGTGGTTGGCCCGGATTATGTGGGCCATGTGGGCCGCCTGAGGGAAAGTTGACTTGAAAGACAGAACTCGGGAGCGTCCCTGAAGATCTGACATGCATCTTTTAGGAAGTGCGAAGGCCTGGCAGAAATACAACTTGAAACTGGCCACTTGTGGCTATACTCTGCTTCTTGGGACTGGCCAAGCGGACCAGATGGGGCAGACAACCCGGCTTGCTCTTCTTGTCATTTGTTTGGGTTGACCGAGTTTCGCATGAAGCCACTAGGTGGATAGCCGACAAAACGTACGAGCTGTACAGGCCAGAGCGATCCACGTGGAGGGTTGTCTTGCCAGACGTTTCTGTCCAACCTGGAATGCCGCAGGAGCGCCGCAAGCACCTGCATTTCCTTACAACACTCACGTCCAAAAGAAGACAGATGAACATTCAAGTGGACAAGCCAAGCGGCTTGCAAACATGAGCAACCAAGTCGGCCTCCACCTGGCCAAGGGGCATGAGGCTCTTTCTTTGTATGTGAGTGTGCTGGCAGGTGACGAGGCACTGACAACCGCTAAGTTGGTTTGTTTGCGGCTTGCGGTCGCCAGGTGGCGCGGGCTGATCGATCACTTGACCCCGCGTCCGCACAACTGGGCCATTCGCTTGGCAGAAGCAGGAAAAGCGCAAACTTTCTGAGAACCCCTACAGTTCCTGTGGTGGTTTCAGGCATCGCCAATCTTTTGGTGGTTTTAAGCATCACCTTTTTGGCCAATTTGAGGTGAGTTGCCCTTAGGGGTGATGTGTTAAGGGGAAATATGGGGAATCCGTTTTTGCGCGTTTTACGTGTGAGAGTTCATGGCCTCCCTTGGAAGCCACGAGAATAGCGTGCGGCTGCGAAGGCTCTAGGGGAAGTACCCCTTGAAGATATAAGCACAGATCATTGCTTGGCATTTGCTTCCAGAATCGCAAGGGGGTTTGCCATGAGCAGGAATGCAGCAGGGTTGGCATGCAGCTCATGCATATGCAGAACACCGAAGCCTTCAAACTCACAGTCAACAAAAACAAGTTGCATTTTTTCTTGCTGGTTCTCAGCAGGGAATGAGAGAATGACCCCTATAAACCATCCTCCATGGCTTCCTATTTGTAATGGGTTTGGCTGGTTGCTCGGCTTGGTCCTGGCAGGGGGCCCCTTGGTGCCATGTCGCCGCCTTTCGATTCGTCGCTGGTGACGCCTGCGGCAGTCGAGGAAGCTTTTAAGCGGTTGCTGCTTGGCAAGGGGTGGGGGATGATGAGGAGGAGGATGATGATGATGAGAAGGAGGAGGAGGAGGATGAGGAGGAGGAGGAGGAGGAGGCTGGGGTGGTGCTGCGCGTGGCTTCCTGAAGGCGTGCCATTTGGACTTCCCTGGTAATGACCTACTTGGCTCACTTGGCGGTTTTCCGAATGGGTCATCATTCGGGGTTACTCGCAGCGTCCCTTGTTCGGCCTACCATCCACAGGTATGCTTGGCACGTTGGGCTCGCAAGCTGCCGCCTTTGAAGGCAAGGGCTTCAAATGTTGTCATGTTCTGCTACATGTTTGCATCTGGAGTGGGGCGTTCCCACAATTCTTCCCAGCACTACCCCACTTGGTGAGTCATTTGTAGGCAGCAAATTCGGCTTTGGGTTTGCTGGACGTCGCTCGGCTCGGCACTCCAAGCTGAGGCGCCCCTACGTCCACCGCACGACGCCTGGCATCAGTGCAGTTTTGGCGTGGCTTCTGCTCCCACCCAGGTTTTGCTAGCAGGTTGACGGAGGGGCATCCTTCAGCACATGAAGCTTGCATAATTAGACAAGGTCGGAAACTATGGGGCGCCTTGAATTCCCATAGGTTGAGGTGGGCTGAGTATAACGTCACCTTTCTTCAGGTGCATTTGACACACTCATCAATAGTCGCTTCTTTTGGGATGGGTGCGTGCGTATCTGCGTGTGGGCAGACCCTCTTCCGTACATGGACACATCCAGCCTGAGGAGAGTTTTCACCTGTGAGCAGCTGGACCAAAGAGCAGCTGCTGTGAGCGGAGCTCCGCGCCAGCTTTTCTTGAAGGCAAGGGGCGGGCTCCTGACGTTTGGCTTTGTGCCAAAATGGGGCCCCCCTCGGAATGGAGGGTTTTATGTTGCAGGTGGTTTTTACCTGGTTTCATGGCGGTGGCTTCCTGGCAATTGAGAAGCTGAACCGAATGTCAGGGGATCCCCGCGGAAGCCAAGATTAAGGTTTGTCAGGGATAGTCCCAACCATGAAATGGGTGCAGCCGCTTTGTCATTCCGGACATGGTTCTGGGTAGACTCGGGTCTCAAGGCTGCTTCGCGTTGACGGCAGTTGAGCTGTGATAAATTGTTCGAGTGCATGGACAGGCTGAGCACGAGCAGAAGATTGGTGCCTTCAAAATCCGTGGCGCCATCAACGCGACAAGCTACTCATTGGATTAGTGACAAGGCACACATGTTTGCATGAATCATGGAATCCGACATTTACATGTCGTAGAGGTTCCTTTCGGAAGCGCAGATGCCGATGCATTGTAGCTCAGGCTTGTCTTCCGCCGCAGCTCGCTTGCAACGACAGCACGGGTTCCTTGTTTGTTGTCTGGCATGTCTTGCTGCAGGAGCACGTGGTCACCCAGTCAAGTGGAAACCATGCCCAGGCGAGGAGCACCAGAGCTGGATTTGGATCTCTTCCTAAGCCAACCTTGACTGGGTTGCTCAAAGGCAATCTTTAATCAAATCCTCGGGGTACGCAAGGATTTGGTCCCCTGTGTGGTGGCTTCCCTATAGGGATGGTGGATTAGAATTGGCCAACCCTCCATTTTGCACAGCCCAGTTTAATTGACCCGCTGATTTACATACCGGTCGTAGGCATTTGCAACCCTCCGCGTCGTGCTTTGAAGCTGCCCTTTTAAAGGGCGATTTTGTACGGGTGGCACCGCTGCATCGCTCTTGACATTCAGACGCATGCCAGCTCTACACGACCACTCAGTTGTGACTATGCGCGTGACCATGCCCTTGAACGCGCATTTTGTGCTCCGTGCAGGCCATTGCTCTCGCATGCAAGCTCTTGGGCAAGAAGGTGGGCGATGATCATATTTACCAGCTCACGGTTTTGCTTGTGATTGGCAGATGGCCTGAATTCCGTTAGGGTGAAAGCAGGTGGCACTCTTCCGTTTGTGTGGTCAAGCCAAGGGGATGACTAGACCAAAATGGGGGAATTGGGCCATCTTCCTTCACCGAACTGCGCCATTCCATGGTACCCGACCCAAAGCTCCGGTATCCCAGCCGCAGGCCGTGGTGGTCATGCCGGACAATTCGCCCAGCGTCAAGGTGAGCGCTGTCCGTGACACCTATGGGGCTGAGGCCGGCCGAGAGAGCCGGCGATTGGGTTCGATGCGGCAAAGACCTGGGAGTTGATGGAGTCAGAGAACCGACCCTGCAATTGCAACTCCGCTTTTGCAAGCCGAGGTCCGCTTTTGCAAGCCCACGCAAGAGGCAAGAGAGGCCGGACATGGGCTGACCTCGATAAACAGCAACATGGATCAGTCGCTGTCATGGGAATGGCAGTTACAGCGAGAGGCTCGCTGCGAACGTTTCTGGCTTTCGCAAGGAATGCATGGGTGTTGACACAGCATCAAGAGATTCCGAAATTTTCCGCGAGTTTGCGGCAAAGTTGGATGTCTTTCGTCCAGAATTCTGCCGTGGTCTTGCAAAGGTACATTTCCGCATGTCCCAGAGAAATGTCAGCCATATCTCAAGCTCTGGGTGCTCGCTCATCGGCTGGTATCCTTCAAACACGTCAGCTCCCTCCCTGCCTCC